AAAGAGAAAGCACAGTTCATTCACGGGGAACACATCTTTTACAGAAAAATGAGTCAGTCCATTGCTCACACCCTCAACCGCCTCCCTTAGCAGTAATACTCTCACTGCCCTGATTATTCCAGGAGCAGGTGTAACATTCTCTTTGGTGGGCATTTGGTACATTATTAAATACCTTGGCTTCAATTCCCAAATGCATTTTCCACCCAGCTTCCAGCTAATGCATACCCAAGAAAGCAGCAAAGGGTGGCACATCCTCCTACGTACTTTGAATCACCTCTAGATTGCTTATAATTCCTCATGCAATGTGAATGCATTTATAGTTGCTGACAGAACAATGATTGTTGTGTTGTTTAGAGAACGATGACAAGAAAAATAAAAGTCTGTCAATACAGATGTATCTGTTCTGGGCCTGACAATGTACTACATACAGTAGTAGGAATCCAAAGATGCAGAGCCAACAGATATGATGGGTCAATCATAGTATGTTTCCCAAACAATGTGCACAATAATTTTCTCAGCAACACTGCATGATCTTGCAAGTCCAGAGATGACCCAAATGCCCACTGACAGGAAGATAGTACAATCCATGGCAAATGGAACTCATCACCCAAAGTATCATTCAGAAACGAGAATGAAGAAACAATGACAAACCCACACTCACAGGATCAACTGATCTTCAACTAGGTGCCTGGAGCACAGGGTGGGGAAAGGACAGTCTCCACAATGGTGATGGGAGAACTGGCCCACAGCACACAAAACAATGCATTAGGGACCCGATCTGACATTCCCAGCAAAAATAAATTAGAAATGGGGCCCGGCGCGTGGCGTAGTGGTTAAATTCTTCGTCTTGCACGTCCTGGGATCCCATATAGGTACCGGTTCTAATCCTGGATGCCCTGCTTCCCATCCAGCTCCCTGCTTGTGGCCTGGAAAAGCAGTAGAGAATGGCCCAAAGCCTTGGGACCCTATACCCGAGTGGGAGACCCAAAAGAGCTCCTGGCTCCTAGCTTCAGATTGGCTCAACTCCAGCTGTTGTGCCCACTTGGGGAGTGAACCATCAAACGAAGATCTTCCTCTCTCTCTCTCCTCCTCTCTGTATATCTGCCTTTCCAATAAAAATAAATAAATCTTTAAAAAATTAATTATAAATGGATTGTAAGCTTAAATTAACACCTGAAACTGTATAACTTGTCAAGACAAGCATAGGGGAACTTCTTCCAGATGCAAGTCTTGGCAATGATTTCGTGAATATGGCATCGAAATAATAGGAGCGAAAGCAGAGAAAAGTGTGACAGCATCAAATGCAACATTTCTGCACAGCAAGGAAAACCAGTACCAAAACCGAAAGGAAGTCAACATGATGGCGGAACATATCTCCAAGACACATTTCCGATAAGGAGATGACATGAAGAATGAGTAGGGAACTTATATAATCTAATAAGAAAAAATGAATCCAATTTAAAGGGTAGAAAGGACCCAAGTAGACTTTCCTTTCAAAGGTAATTACTTGTCATGTAATAAGCAAACAGTCCCACTTCGGGAAGATGAGAAAGTTCTGAAGATCATCATGATAGCTGCACAACCCTGGGCATGTACTTCAGGCTGCTGAACTGTGAACTAAAAATTAGGTGACTTGCTTAATTTGTGTTACATATATTTTTAAACAATTAACCTGAATTGTTTCAAAGTGTATATTCTAGGGCACCAGGACTACAGCATAGCGAGTTAAGCTGCTACCTGCGGCACCAGCATTCCTACCTGGGCATCTGTTGGAATTTCACCTGCTCAGCTTCCTGCTACTGCTACTAGGAAAGCGGCAGAGTAGGTAGCCCAAGTCCTTGTGCTATTGATACCCACGTGGGAGACCCTGAGGAAGCTCCTGGCTCCTGGCTCCTGGCCTCAGCCTGGCCCAAGCAGAAGCATTGCAGCCGCTACGGACGTGCCCCTTTCTCTCCCTCTTTCTCTAGAATGCTGTCTTTCAAACAATTTTTCAAATCTTTAAAAAATAAAGCCTGCTTTCCTAGCAAGGTTTTAAACCAAGCCCATGTTACTGATATTGGTAATACATTGAGTATTAAAATTGTAATATAAAGAAGAAAATAAAAACCTGTGAGTTCCTTAGGAAAAGCAAACCAATCTTATGGTTCTTATAAACTAGTGGCTAGTTCACATAAAGTTACTGCTTTTTGCGATTACTTCATGAAGAAACGCAATTTAATAGGCTAAGTAAGATTTATAATATAAGGTAGAGTAGACCTCTGAATATAATACAGATATGAGCACAGAGAACAAAGAAATGGGAAAGGAGAGATCATTTTCAGAGAACATCTATAAAGTAATAGAACAAATCATGCATTTTACATCACGTATTACTTAGTAGTTGCCCGGCAATTTTCTCCTTTGGCTTTTTAAAGACATTTATTTTGCCTATCATAATTACTCATTCAGCTAAGTAGCTAAAAAGCTATTACGGGACTGGAAATTTGGTATATTGGTTAAGAGGCCACAGGAGGCCACATAACCCTCTCAGAGTGCCGGGTTCGAATTCTGCTGTGGCTTTTGAGTCTAGCTTCCTGCCAGCGTGAGCCCTAGGAGATGAGGACATACATCCTTGTTATCCTGTTAGATTGTATTTCTTCATGAAGCAATTACAAAATGGGAAACCTGAATTTGAGTTCCAGGTTTCTGACTTCAGCCTGGCCTGGCCCAGGCTATTCTGAGTATTTGTGGGATGAGGCAAAAATAGAAGGTCGGTCTCTCTCTCTCTCTCTCTCTCTCTCTCTCTCTCTCTCTCTCTCTCTCTCTCTCTGTCTCTCTCTCTCTCTCTCTCTCTCTCTCTCTCTCTCCCCTTCTCTCTCACTTTCTTTCTTCTCCCCTTTTCCCTCTCTTCCCCTTTTGCTCTCTGTATTTCTGCCTTTCAAATAAAAGTAAGATAAATCAATGTTAAAACTTTCAACTATGTTACGGGACTAAACAATGGAAAACTAGGCCTGTGGAGCTGGAAAAGGAATGTGTTCTCATAAAAGGAGCTTCTTCGGCTCAGTGGGTTTCCTTCGTCCCTGTTCTTCTCCAAGTGTGATGTGACGAGGTCACCGTGTGCCTTCCTGGGAGATTCATCAGCGGTCTAATCAGATATTACAGAGCGATCAGAGAGCAAGCTCGGGAAGCCACCGTTCCACTCGGTGCACTCGGTTCTCTGCCGAGAGAAACCGCCCCTGTGCTTGATGTCAAGGCACAACCGCACATGCCAAGGTGAGCCTGTTCAGACTGCTTTTTAAGAAACGATGAGTCGTACTAAATAGAGAGTTGTTAATATGTGTGAATGTAAATTTAAATGATCTGTCAATCATCTTAGTAGCGTTTCTATTTTGTTGTCTTGCTTTTACGTGTGATAAATTATCAGAGATGGCATAGTCATTAAGGCAGCTGTAAATATCTCCTGTAGGAAGTTAAAACCATCAATTTTTGTGAAGCAAAAAATATACAAAAGGGTGGTTCTATCATACTTCCTGTAATTAACAGCATTTCTGACCCACCGGGACTCATTCGTTCATGGAGATCCTTACTGTTTGAAAGCTGATGAGCTTTTTCAGAAGTTTAAGCGCCACTTCACTCATTAGTACTTTCACTCTAGCGTGTCAACCCATATCTTATGATCATCTCAGTATAGTGTAATGTGTTATATGGCCTGAAAGTAAAGCTTAAGTCACAAACATCTGTGCACATCTGTTGCTAAATGGTAACTGATCAACATAAGTATGACCTTGAGACAGCTAAAAGCTTGAAGTATTATAAAAAGGAAGAATAGGCAGTCATAATGACAAGTGGGTAGTCCAATCAGTCTGATTTTTTGTGACAGTTGACTCACACATGGGAGAAGCTCTAAGTCATTTTTCTCTTAATTGGAAAGGCAGATATACAGAGAGGAGGAGAGACAGAGAGGAAGATCTTCTGTCTGATGATTCACTCCCCAAGTGACTCACCAATCCAGAGCCAGGAGCCAGGACCCTCTTCTGGGTCTCCCATGCGGGTGCAGGGTCCCAAGGCTTTGGGCCATCCTCAACTGCTTTCCCAGTTTCCCAGGCCACAAGCAGGGAGCTGGATAGGAAGCAGGGCCTCTGGGATTAGAACCGGAGCCCATATGGAATCCCAACACGTGCAAGGTGAGGACTTTAACCACTATGCTATCGTGCCAGGCCCAAAGTCATTTAATTTTGATATACTAAAAATCCCTTCTCCCTCAAACTGTTTCTAATGGGAACAATTGCATGAGCTTGTTATAACACATATATATATATCTGAGCAGGAGGAAGTTTAAAAGCTTCCACTGGCGATGGCTGTTGTAGTATGGAGAGTTAAAGCTGGCCCTTGAGAGGCCTTTATGGAAGTGCCAAGTTCAAATCCCAGCTGCTCTCCTTCCAATCAAGCCTCCTGCTCATGTAAACCCTGGGAGGCCTCAGGGAAAGGCTCAAGCACTTGACTCTGGCTCATATGGGAAGGACTGGATTCAGTTTGAGGCTTCTGGCTTAGACAGCCCAGGCGGAACTGCTGTACGCATCAGGAGACTGAACCATCAGATGGGAGAGCGTTCTTTCTCTGTGTCTCATCATTTTGCCGTTTAAAAAATAAACTCGAAATAATTTATTTTAAAACTTTTAACCAATTACAATCAAATAAGTGACAGAATAGGAAGACAATGCTGTATGCCAATAAACCATGTCTTTCCCACGGAATCTGGCTTCCTCTTTTAACTCAACTTCTTAAATGTCTCTTAGCTCCAAATCTAAGATCAGAATGAAGGAGATCCATGATGAGCTCTGAGGAGTGAACTATGTAGCCAGAACCCTTTGGTGGGTTAGGAGCTGAGCAGGCTGAAAGTCCCAACAGCCAGCTGTGGCAGACACTGTTTACGGGTGTCAAGAATGCTCTGTACAAGAAACTCACACAATCATGATGTGCTTGTTAATATGTTATTTCAGAAGAATTAAACTGTAAACAGGATGGCCAGTTCTGAAAGCATTGAAGAGATGCAAGAAATTGACCAGAGAAATGGGTAAGATTTACCTAAATTCTACTAAAAGTATTCTTTGGCACCTTCAAATATAGCTTATTTTTTTTCACAGCTACAGTAAAAATGCCTAGACTATTTTCCCCCAAAATTAGCAATTCTATTTAATTTCTCTAGAAAATCTATGTATTTATACTATGTTTTTTTCAATGGATTTTTAAGAGACCCTCGTTTGATCAGATGATTCCAATCAAGCCAACTGATATATTAAACACCTTCTGTTTCTCCTAAGTGCAACACTGTGCCTCTGACCCATGGCTTCCCAGTCCTCTCCTTCCCCAGACTCGGGGAGCAACATTCTGCTCCCTAATTCCATTAATGGAATCGTTCAAGGTCACACATGCAAATGTCGACATGAAGCTGTCATGCTTCACTTACGTCACTCAGCATAATGTTCTTCAGGTTCATGTAGTTTGTCACAAATCGCAGAATCTCTTTTTAAAGGCAGAACAACGCTGTGCTGTAACGCCCATAGTGCATTGCTTCTTAGCACGGATCCACCGATGAACCCTTGGGTTGATTCTGCATTCAGCCCTTGCGAATAGGCTGAAGTGAATGTGAGAGCGGGCATCTCTCTGGCAAGCTGATTTCAGTTCACCTGAGCAAATGTCCCAAATGCAGGATCATACAGGGATTCTAATTTTAGTTTCCTGAGGAACTTGGATAATATTTTTCAAAAGTGCTGAACTCATGGCTCTTCTCACAGCCACACAAGATACCAATGCTGGAATACAATGGAAATCAAGAGAACTGAATTCTGTACTTCACACCTCTGCTTTAATAGTCCACGGTTGTTGTCTTCCCAAAATCAACTTACCCCAAGTTTTGGGCACACTCTGAACTTTTCTTCAAAAATTCCAAATAGATTCTCTAAATTCTGTGCCCTAGACTGCTGGTATGAAGGAATAACGAGGGGACAGACCTGCTTTTAGATTATGTCTGTGCACATAAGCATTATTTGGCGAGTGAATAGATCACATCCGTTGCAGTAGCCTACTGCCTAATACCTTTGCCTTACATGTGTCCAGATTCCATATGATGCTGGTTCAAGTCCCAGCTGCTCTAGTTCCCATCCAAGCTCCCTGCTTGTGGCCTTGGGAAGCAGTCAAGGACGGCCCAAAGCCTTGGGGCCCTGCATCCATGTACCAATCCCAGAAGAAGCTCCTGGCTCCTAGCTTCAGATCAGCTGAGCTGCGACCATTGTGGCCACTTGTGGAGGGAACCAACGGACAGAGAATCTTCCTCCCTGTCTCTCCTTCTCCTTATAATTATAATCTGACTTTCCCATAAAAATGAATAAAAAAAGAAGAGGAGGAAGAAGAAGAACAACAACAACTAGATTAGTAAGTGTCCAGGCTCACGAGTCAGACTCAGGATCCAGCACTAGCAATGCCTAAAGGAAAGTTGTTTACTCTGTGACTCATTGTTCTCACGCTGAAAACATGCACACTGACAACATGTGCTGAACTGCAAATTCATAGGTCAGTGGTAAGACCACAGCTGACTGCACCTTCCCTGCGCTAGCGTGCAGAACACTGGCATGGAGACGTGACTTGACGCTCCAAACACTGGTGGAAAAAGAAGCTTTAAAAATCCATACTGCCTTCAAAAACTTTCCAGGAAGGTCAGGGGAAGACAAAAGTATTCCCCGGACCCCAGGTCCTAAACAATGGGGAAGAATTATGGGATTTTTTTAAAGATTTATTTATTTATTGGAAAGTCAGATATACAGAGAGGAAGATCTTCTGTCTGATGATTCACTCCCCAAATGAGCACAAAGGCCGATGCTACACTGATGAGGAAGCCAGGAGCTTCCTCCAGGAACTTCTTCCGGGTATCCCACACAGGTTCAGGGTCCCAAAGCTATGGGTCATCCTCGACTGCTTTCCCAGGCCACAAGCAGGGAGCTGGATGGGAAGTGGAGCTGCCGGGATTAGAACCGGCGCCCATATGGGATCCCGGCGTGTTCAAGGCGAGGACTTTAGCTGCTAGGCCATGCCGCGGGGCCCAAATTATGGGATTTTTAAAAGCATTTTTTGTTGCCAGAGTAAATTGGGTTGTACACAAGTAAAGTATTAATCTGAGTTGGAATGAAATTAACTGATTTGTCAGTTATCAAAGCTGTCAGTACAGTGTGTTACAAAATCGAAGAGAAGGAAGTTGGTTCTCCTATGATGTCCTTTCAGAAAACAGGAACCTTCACTCTTTCAGGATAGTGGGTACATGTGTGCGTGTGCATGTGTGTTCAACTGGAAGATTTCCATGGAAACAAATGAATAAAATTTACAACTTGGATTTAGACCTCCTTAAAACGGGAGCCAAAAAGTGAAATTCCAAAGCCGGGGACAAATTTCAGAGTTTAAATGTGTCCTTAGATACTCTTCATCCATGAATGTCCTTGAGCATTTTGTTACAAAGGATTAAAAAAGTTATCCCACTGCTCCCTACCTATAAGAATGACATGAGAGAGAGAGAATGAGCAAACAAGTGTTGGAGAGGATGTTGGAACTCTTGTGCTGTAGGTAAGAACTAAAAATGCTGCATCCCTTGGGGAAAATAGCATAGTGGCTCCTTCCTCCAAAAATTAAAAATGGAATTATTCAGCAATGATCCCTTGAATAGATACCCAAAAAAACTGAAAGCAAAAAGTCACGGTCCTTTGCCCACTTGCCTTGGCAGCTACATTGATACGAACAGCCAAAATGTGGGCTCATTCATGGGCTCATTGATGAATGGATGCAGAAAATATGGCACACATATCTCCTGCAAAAAAGAAGGGAAATTCTGACACACACTACAACACAGATGGACACGGCAGACATGCCAAGGAGTAATTCAAGAATGAACCTTGAAAACATGTAGCTGATCAAACAGTGCAGCATTTCACCTCTATACGATACCTGGACCAATAGGAACTGCCTAATGGGTCCAGAGCTTCAGCTGTGCAGAATGAAGACAGCCTGATGGATGAACGGTGGTCATGGCAACACGACACACAAGCACACATGTTGGCCTAATGGGGTATTTTCTTTTAAATGATAAGAGGATAAACTGTGTTGTATGAACTATACCATAATTTCTAAAAGTTCCATTCCAGATGCATGTCTTCAGTTCCTACCCTGATAAACTGACGGACAGCAAAAAGTGATGGCTCATTTTCACAGGGATTATTCTAGAATATTTTGTTCTGTTTCATCATTAAGTTCGTTTGGAAAGGTTTCATGTTAGTATAAATTTGCTGCCAGGCAGGTCAACTGAAAGCTTTACAAAGACGTTAACTGGAAGCTTTTGTAAGTTATACTGACACTGTAATGTTTTTTTAATCTAAAATGTTTATTTTCCAGAACACAAGAACAATTGCCTACAGTGGGGAAACAAGCTGTTGGGTGTATTGAGATAGTAAGTGGAACCACCAGAACATGTGTATATCAGAAAATTCTGTGGAATTATCAGCACTGGTTGTGTTTGTTAGGTCATTTCAATGCATTAATTGAAAGAAAGGGAGTTTTTTTTTTTTTAATTCATCTACATGAAATTTCCAATAGGAAAAAAAAAAGCTCCAAAGTTCCACAATGAGATAAGGAAAATAACAGCACAACACCCCCACAAGTATCAACTTCTTTAAAAAAAAAAGTGTTTGGGTTATGTATACCTGTTACCAGAATTTACTTCTGAGTGGTGGAAATTATGTTTTTTGCTATCTGTGTTTGCATTTCAGTATTTTCTGATGATTCCACACTGACAAACTATCATGGTTGCTATTTTTAAGGTGTTGTGTATTATTTTGAAATAAAAAAAAATAATTAAGTATTTTGTAAAGCTTAAGTACCACAAAATGGGTCTGTACACCTCTTCTACATTATACTCGAAAGATATTTTCTATAGAAAAAAAAACTGCAGGAGAAAGTGAGTGAGAGAAAGAGACAGGCAGAAACAGAGCCCCATCCACTAGGTCACTCCCTAAAACGCCAAAGAGTTCTAGGCTAGGTCCGGAACCCAAGAGCCAGAAACGCAACCTACGCAGTGTGAATCCAGCTGTTCCAGCCATCTCCACTGCCTGCCATGACCCTCCTAAGAGGCTGAGCCTCACATCCAAGCCAGGCTCTTCAGTGGAGGATCCAAGCATCTTCCCCAATGCCACAAGCCAAATTCCTGCCACAAAGAAAACTGTCATGGATGTGTTTCCAGAATTCCCTTTAGACACTCTGACCACTGCCAGCCTGGCCACTAGTGTCACATCATTAGAAATGCTTGTGGGGCTGGCACAATGGCTCAGTGGCCAAATCCTCACCTTGCAAGCACAAGCACCCCATCTGAGTGCCAGTACGTGTCCTGACTGCTCCACTTCCCATCCAACTCCCTGCTTGAGGCTTGGGAAAGCAGTCAAGGACAGCCCGAAGTCTTGAGACTCTGCACCCACATGGGAGACTTGGAAGAAGCTCCAGGCTCTTGGCTTCCAATCAGCTCATCCCTGGCCATTGCAGTCACTTGGGGAGTGAATCATCAGATGGAAGATTTTCCTCTGTCTCTCCTCCCTGTAAATCCGCCTTTCCAATAAAAATAAATGTTAAGAAAGAAAAGAAAAGAAATGCTCATGAACAGCACCTGTTTTCCCAAGAACTTTCGCAGGAATGAATGGAAAAACATGAAACTTTTCACCTTCACTTATAAGACATCTACTTAATTATTATTGTTGCTATTCAGATCTCATTCCTCATCAATACCATTATACACTGTATCTTGGCCTCTCTCTGTTAGAATAAATAATTCACTTTTCCAAGTTTTCTGCACAGTTTGTTATGAAACGGTATCAGGTGGATCCGCTTTACACTAGGATGTAAAATATTTACTATTTGACATTCAGATAATTCTTATTCCTGACATTTCTGCAAACGTGATAGATTCTTATATATAAAATAGCAAGTGTTCTGTGTAGAAAAAAATCTGAGGAACCTAAAAGTTAACAATCTAAAGTATAATTCATTGTATTTTTACTAGTTAGTTAATTCTTGCACTTATTTGTCACGGTGCTGTGAGTATGAGCTTGGATTGCTGAAAATTTGCAGATCAACTTTGCAAGAACTAAGACACGGCCATTGCAGTCTTTGCAAATAACTTCCTGCAAATTCCACCAAGGGGAGCAAGGTTTCCGACTCATGCCCAGCTCTTATCTGGTGTGTGTATCACTATCCACATTTCGTGTTATTTAGTCTTAGTTTTCTTAATTCCTTCCTCCAAGTAGATCATAAATCATGAGGAGTCAGTGTTTGGTTTCTATTTCTCACTCAGTATGTGAAAACAAGCACATGATAGTATATACAACAGTTGAATCTCTTAATTTGTAAAGTCGCCTTTACACCTCAAGCTCCAGGTTGTGTTTCATTCATTTCGTAACTAATGCTGCCATGCTTTGCTCTCCTTAGTTCCGTTTTGCCGATAAACTGGACATCACACTCATGATCCTGGGTATCCTGGCCTCGTTGGTAAATGGAGCCTGCCTCCCTTTAATGTCACTGGTTTTAGGAGAAGTGAGTGACCACCTTGTTAGTGGCTGTCTAGTCCAAACCAATGCAAGTGAGTACAAGATGTTTTCCTGCACTGCTGGGGACTCAGATGCACTATCTGAAGCCATCAAACATTGCATGCACACTGAAGCTTATTACATTATAAAATACTATGTGTATAATATGAACTTAAGTCCATTGTAATATTGTTAAGTATTGAAGAACCAAAGTGCGTATTAACTAGGGCTTGGCAGAGAAACAGAACCATAGCAGCCCCACTTCCCATCCAGCTCCCGATGTGGCCTGGGAAAGCAGTCGAAAATGGCCCGGAGCCTTGGGACCCTGCACCCGCGTGGGAGACCTGGAGGAAGCTCCTGGCTTCTGATCAGAGCAGCTCTGGCCATTGCAGCCACTTGGGGAGTGAACCAGCAGATGGAAGATCTTCCACTCTGTCTCTCCTTCTCTCTGTATATCTGACTTTGCAGTAAAAATTAAATAAATCTTAAAAAAAAAAAGGCAGAAATGACAAGAGCAAAGACAAGTATCCTAGGGGAAGACAAATGGGGGAATCCAGCCATTAAGGTACAAAAGGTGTTGTCGCCTGACCTGTGGGGTAGCCATCCTTCACACACTTTGTATTCAGAGTCATGTCCTTTAAGGTGACCTTATCTTTATATAGAGTTTTTTCCAATGCACTATCAGGTGACTCCACTCTGTAGTGGATAATATCAGTGCTAATAATTCCCTTATTGCTCATTTTTCCCCCAAAATTTCATGCTACGGAATGTTCTTTCATATGCTTCTTAGCACTGAGGCAAATACTCATTAAAACCTAGCCAGTCTTTTACCTACTAGTCTAGCCTACAATGGTGTACTTCCAACTCTGCCCTATTTAACTTGAGTACTAGTTTGTACCAACTTGTGCTTCACCCAAAGGCTTCTCTTTCAAGCGCTCCAATTTTTTTTGAGAGAAATAAACCCATTGCTTCCAGCTCTGTCTATCCATGTACATGTCTTCTGTTTAAACAGGGAATTTTTCTAGAGGTAGTGTCAATGATAAGAAGTTTGAACGACATAACTGACAATATATCTGATTTCATTACATATTGTAATTGTTGAGACAATATAATATCCAGATTAATAGACTAAAATGTTGTTTCAGTGATATAAACTAAACAAATAAGTTAATTTACTGTTAAACAGATCCACAAGTTCCCTAAGTAAATATTCATTGTCCCCCAGCTATGTGTCTATGAGTGAATGAATCTTAAATCTAAGGCACTCTATTTGGGACTCTTGTTAGATCTGTTCTTACAGAACAGATTGTCTTACTACTTTACATAGAATGGGCAGTTATATTGGGTTCATACTGCTGTGATACATTTTTTTTTCAAATGTGCTGAACATGTAAATATGTTTGATGAGGATTTGGGTAAGTTCATGATAGAACTGCTATATTAAAACACATTATTAAAAGAGAAATCCTATGAGAGGACTGCAAAAATGAAAAATTGAAAGATGAGATTACTTTGGTTCAAAAATTTCAAAATCCATGCAATGTTTTCCTAATAAGCATTTGGAAGATTCTGTTGATTCTGAAAATAGAAATATGAGGAGTAACTGCCCACTAGCTGGAACCATTTTTGTGCCAGCAATGTACTTTTGCAATTATTGCTTCTATTAATACAGTCTTCAAATGAGATTATGGTATAATCATAGAAACATAAGTGCCATGTTTAGAAGCAGTGTTTATTCTATTAGCTCAGTTAAACATTTAAGTTTTATTTGATTTTACTATCAATGCTTCTGCCACATCAATTCTGATATTTTTGGAATAAGCTAATTTAAATTTTTTTTCCTCCTGCAATCCTACAAATGGAAGGAGAAGTGACTGCACATAAATAAAGATCACAGATTTTATTATATGTGATCATATGGTTCTAGAAGAGATGAAGAGACGTTGTACCTGCAAATCATTACAAACATTTATTATAGGGATTAAACGAGTAACTTATGATAATGAAATCTTGCCAGGTTAAATCAGGCCCTTAATATGCTAGTAAAAGTACAATGAAGTTCTCAAAGATACATAGATATGTTTCCTTAGAAAACATATAACCCAAGGACTATTTTCAACATAGCTTCATTACATTGTGGCCCTAGTTTTATCCAACATTATTTTGATGAACTTCCATTCCACGTTTTCCACAACTGCTTCTAGAATTTCATAAGCTCTTGTTTTTCTTGGACTTTCCAAACCACTCCCTCGGGAATCTCAATTAATTCTAAATACATGATCTCAGGCAGCGAGGAGGAATTCTAAAAGTATTACTTTCCTAACTGTTGTCACATCGGACATGGCCCAAATAATTCTGAATATGAGCTATTAACATTTGTATTTTTACATATATTATATAGTACTTCTTAAGAGTGCAGATAATTATTTCAACTTCCAGACTGAAGAATAGGAAAGGAGAATAATGGAAGCCTGTGCATAGGTCTTAAGTATATTTTCTTGAGAATGCATTGTATTTGCTTGAGAAATCTACAAATGAAACAATATCAATTATTGTTTGTTAATAAATTTCTTATTAATTAATTCATTTCCTTTATAAAGGAAAATCTTATTTTTGCAGCAAATTATCGGAACTGTACTCTATCTCAAGAGAAGCTGAATGAAGATATGATTGTGTAAGTCCAAAAGATCAAATGCTTTGCACACTGTTCTATTCAATACTTAACAAGAAAAAAATGAAATGCTTTAGCTTATTATTTATAATACATGTTGACCAAAACAAAAATGTCTTCTATTTCAATTAGATGCCTAAAACTGAATTAGGTTCATGATTTATTTTCTTCTATTGTGTAGGTTAGATGTTTTGAGCTATATTCAACAAAATTTTCAATAGAAAAATGAGAATTTACATGTCAAAATTTTTTGTTTGATTAATTTTTTTCAGAAGCAGAAGATACAAAGAGTTTCTATCCTCTGCTTCACCCCTCAAATGCCCTCAATGTTTAAAGTTGGCGCTGGCCAAAACCAGAAGGTCTTCCAAGCTGGAGCCGAGCTCCAACCACCTGAGCCATCACCTACTGCCTCTAAGATGTAGTAGCAGCAGGTGGAATTAGGGGCAGCACCAGGACTCAACATAGGCACAGTACATGGAAAGTGGGTGTTCAAAATTAGGGTTCTAAAGCACACGTGAAGTTTAAATCTCTTATAGAAAGGTGTAGAAAGTTTTAAAATATGGGTATCTATTTTAAATAACATAATAAAAGAGAAAACAGGAAGAAATATGAAGTATTTAAAATTTTTCACAGAAAATGAACATTACAGAAAAAGTATGCCTGTTTTTTTTAAATACATAAATATCAAAATAGTCTTTTAATTTTATTTTCTGTGAAATGTTAAAGTATCATTGTAAGTTGATGTACAGTTATTTAAAAGCTGTAAATTTTACACATATTTCTAACACTTTATAAAGTACCATTGTAGTTGTTATGCTATTTTTTTAAGCAGTGTTCTGTTTTTGAAATACTCAGGCTACATAATGGAAAAGATCCAGAGTTAATTTGCTTTGGAAAATGTTATATGCCAGCCTCCTATAGCTACACACTGGCAGATAAGCTGAGAAAAGTCTTTGCCTAGTTAACTTTGTTTAATCCAAGTTTTCCAATGCTGACTATGGGAGCTATTTTTTTGAAACCCCTAACACTATAAACTTCCTCCAGAACTTTTGTTTTCATTTATACATTTTGGGTAAGCATCTGTTTAAATCACCTTTTTGTTGTGTGTAAGATAAAACTTTTTTTCATCGAGAATCATCAAGAACCATGGAACTTTATTCTACCACAATTTTTCCCAAAGAAATAACTCATAACTTGATATAATTTTAATGTTTGAATGTTACATTGCTGCCTCTGCATTACCAGAAATTTATTCTGAAATAACTGTCTTTTCTTTTTGATTCCCAATCAGAATAACTGAGTAAGATCACACGTGATTAATATGACATCACCTCTTTTACTCTCAAGAGTTAATTTGTTAATTCCATATGAATTTCTAAACTACTTTTTCCTTCTCTTTCATCAGCTTTTGATAAGTCTACTGTATCCTCCCTTAAAAATGAGGAGGGAAACTAGATATCATTGTGTAGATGAAGGTCAGTTCTCTTTATGAAAATTCATCATCACACTGGCTTAGCCATGATAGGAATTTATTTTTATCACAAATAAAAACCTAAATTAAGACAGCCGAGGGATAAAATATGACTCAACAAGGTACTTGGTCAGGATCCTTCTGTCTTTCCACCCCACCATCATTGCAGCAGCTGCCTTTTAAGTATCACCTTCTAAACCAAAGGGCTGTTGAGTCTCCAGTGAATTTGCAGAAAAATAAGGGAAAGGCTCCCAAAATGTACACACTTCACTGAGTTGGTTCTTTAATCAATCTGCCAGAAATTCCATGCAGCTTACCATACATCTAACCCTATCCTTAGATTGGGTAGATGAGTGCTTCTATCTTAGTTGAGCCTATGACTACTCCAGTCAAAATGGGAGTTCTGTTACAAATGAAGAAGACACAATCAGTTACTGGGTAGTGGAGTAGACAGACAGCAATTGTTCTGCACCAAAGTTGCCTACTTGTTCCAAAATGTGTACAGCAGAACTAACAAATATTAATAGGTGGGACATCGCAGAAGATGACATGTCCATGGTGAATTTGTCTTAAATGTCCTGAGTTAACAACTACAAATAATTGGCAAACATATTCTCACAATCTATGAGTAGCTAGTCTTAAAGGCTTCTTTGGAAGCACAAAAAGTGTACATTTTGATGAACAGCATTTTTGTCTTACAGATTTGTGTTTGTGGATTCCACAATTCTTTGCCCTGCATAGGATCATTAAGATTTTCCCCCTACATTTTCTCTTAGAAGTGTCACTCTTGCACTTAGATCTGTAATCCATTGTGGGTTCATTTTTGTGAATGCCGTGAGGAAGGGGTTCAACTCCACCTTTTCCACATATGACTCTCCAATTGTCTCAGCACTATTTGTTGGAAAAACTGTCCTTTGCCACTAAATTGCTTTGCCACCTTTGCTAAGAATCTATTGTCTATGAAGTAACATTTCTGTTTTCTAAGGTCTGTGGCATTGCTTGCTGTACCTGTCTTCATGTCAGCACCACACTGTCTTGACTGCTGTAGTTTTATAGCTTAAAGAAAGAAAATCAGGAAGTTTACATCCTTCAATTTTGTTCTTTCTTTAAAAAAAAAAAGTGTCAACTATTATGAGTCTGCACCCTTATACATTTTAAGATTACCATGCAGCTAACCATACAGAGAGATCTGCCATCTACTGGCTCACTACCCAAATGCTCACACAGGCCAGAGTGGGACTGGCCCGAAGCTGAGCGCCAGGAGGTTTTTCAGAGACTCCCACATTGGTACAGGGGCACGAGGACTTGGCCATCTTCTGCTGCTCTCCCAGGCCATAAGGGAGCTAGATTCTACAATGAAGCCGCTGGGATTAGAACTGGCACCCATATGGGATGCTGGTGTCTTAGGCGGAGGCTGAGCTTGCTATGCAACAGTCCCTCGGTTCCAATTCTATGAGCCAATGCTATCAAACTTGCAAGTCCATTTCCAGTCCACATCCCTCACTGGGGTTTCTGCTGCTCATTTTCAAATTCCTGCTTGATGTCCACTTCGAAGTGTAACAGTCATCTCAAATGAAGCGAGCTTAAATTGGAACTTTTTGAAAGTTATGCTTATGTTTGCTTATCTAAATAGTGGAATTTTAAAAAAAAGGAAACAAAGATGTAAAAAGATCTTCCATCTGCTCATTCCCTTCCTAAATGCTTGCAGGAATGAGCCAGGTTGAAGCTAGAATCTAGAATTCAACCCAGATCTCTCCCGTTGATGTAAGACACCCAGGTACTCGAGCCACTTCCTGTAGGATACAGGTGACACAAGCAACTCCCCTCAGAACATCTGATGCCTCCTGCAAGTCTGTCCGTCCTCTGTCCCCCACACTTCACATGGAATCCCAGTAAACTGCAAACTAAGAAGCTACCCATGGCTTCTCCCCTCTCTCCATACCTCCTATCCAGTATATTGACTTTTTGCTTCCTTCCCGCCTCCCCAGGAAGAGTCTATGAAAGTAGTGTCCTAAAATACACAGAGAGTATAATGAGCAGATATCCAGGTCCTAACACATAGCCAATTCATCATCCAGAACCTCCGTAATGCTGGGAGGAGACTGCAGTGTAGCAGACTCCCCTGGCACAGCAGCCGCTCTCCTTTCGATGAAATGTGTCCCTCTGCTGCTTTTCTGGCTGCTCCAAGCCCAGCACACCTGGAGGACTGAACCTGAAGGGTCTCTCTACTTCTGGATAGCTGTCTTCAAAAGCAGAAGCTTCGTGGCTTCTCTTCTTTTAAAGAGAAACGTGGCTATTCTTGTCAGAGGGGTCCATTACTCTGACAACTCTTTATTTCCACGAGGTATCTAGCATCTATCTGCTTCTTTACATGCAGGTTGCAACTGCATCCCTGAATCCCCATCCTCCCCATCTTGGCCATGGCAGAGCTTCCTGTCTGAACTTCACACTTCCATTGCTGTCACTTGCATCCATCCATCCTCCACAAAGGAGCTGGAGTGAGCTTTCCAACTGTTGATGCGTGAGCTCATAATAATGAGAAATGTATTTTAGATGTTTTACAAAGGAACCTGTAAAAACATTTACAATTGTTATTCTTTCCAATGGCAAGTCAACATTACTTATTTTTTTCCCCACTGTGGTGGCACAGTGGGGAAAGCCACCATCTGGCACCTGCAGTGGCATCTCATGTGTGCACCAATTCATGTCTGGCTGCTCCACTTGCAATCCAGCTCTCTACTAATGTGCCTGAGAAAGCAGCAGAGGATGGCCCATGTGCTTGGGCCTTGCACCATGTAGGAGATCTGGAAGAAACTTCTGGCTCCTGGCTTTGGACTTGCTCAATTCCAGCAGTTGCAGCCACAAGAGGATGAGAGCTCTCTCTCTTACTCTCTTTGTAAATTCACCTTTCAAATAACAAGTAGGTTTTTCTAAAAAGTAGATATTCATTTATCTTACAGGCACAGTGACAGAGAAAGGAAGGGGGGTGGCAATAAAGAAGTTTTCCCTCTATGGGTTCTACCTCCAAATGGTAACAAACAGCCAGGGTTGTTCTAGCCTGACATTAGGGGCCCAGGTATCCTTCTGTGTGTCCTACATGACAGGCAGGGTCTCAAGTACTCCGGCCATCTTCTGCTGCCTTCCCAGGTGCATCAGCAGGGAGCTGGATTGAAAGCAGAGCATCCAGAGCTTGAACTGGTTCTCCAGTACGGCATGATAGCACTGTGAGTGGCATTTTAAACCCACGGCACCACAATGTCAACTCTTCTTAATGATTTTTCCAGATAAACTCTCCCAATCAAATATTATCATTTTTTTATTTCTGTTTTTTTATATATACCAAAGGGAAAATATTGTGCTTTGGGCTAACATTTGTGATCATCTTTCTTTAGGTTGACCATGTATTATGTTGGGATAGGAGGTTCTGCTTTGATTTTTGGCTACATGCAAATTTCCTTTTGGGTTATAACTGCAGCACGACAGACCAAGCGAATCCGCAAGCAGTTCTTCCACTCAGTCTTGGCACAAGACATCAGCTGGTTTGATGGCAATGATATTGGCGAACTTAACACTCGCCTAACAGAGTAAGAGGAAAACGTGTAATACATTCTACTTTATCCTTGCTTAGGAAGGACACAGAAGTGACCCCGCTACGTTTATTTACTTGTTTCAGAGATATCACCAAAATCAGCGATGGTATTGGAGACAAGCTTGCTCTACTGTTTCAAAATATGTCTACTTTTTCCATCGGCCTGGCGGTCGGCTTGGCGAAGGGCTGGAAACTCACGCTGGTGACTCTGTCCACATCCCCGCTCATCATGGCTTCTGCAGCAGCGTGCTCCAGGGTGAGTGAGCTGCCCCAGTGGGCAGCTGTCTGGAAGAAGGGGGAGCTCAATGCGCAAAGGCAAGGGCATCCTCCTTCCCACAGTTGCTGTGGGCTGTGTTCACCATTAGCCATCCCTGTCTGAGTTCTTGTGCCTTCTTTTTATATCTTATTAACATTTTTTAAGAGTTCCCTTCCTTTAGCAGCCCGGGGCGGCTCCAGAAGACAGCAACGACAAAGTCAGGGTCACTTTCTGTGGGACAGTGACCTGCCGCTGCTGTTTCTACAGAGACTTATTTTCTAGAATTCCAGATGAATGTTCTAGAATTCATTTCATTGGCTAGAATACAAATGAGAAAGCCTTAACCTCCTCGAGTTTGTATTTTTCTAAGGTTTTGGATATATTGAAAATGTCTGCCAGTGACTGCTTTTACATGCTGCAATTTTTCCAACCAAATTATGAATTTGCATTTTAAATTACACATTAGCTTTGTTCCATGCTGTGAGTATACCATTCTGTATTAACCTTACTTACCCACTGGTTTGAACCCAATACTCTCTGTGAAATCCAAAAGCAACCAATATCCCTTCAAATCAAATTTTGGCAATTTCATCTCCTTGCTTAGAGACACATTGTTTCTGATTTTGTAATACTAATTGTCTTTCAAACATATATAAACTTTTAATTATTTAAAAGGCAAAGAGGCAGAGAAACAGAGAGATCTAATAAAGATTTTACATCTAGTCATTTCCTTTCCAAAGCCTGGAGCCAAAAGCTCAGCTCAGGTCTCCCTCAAGGGTGTCAGGTGCACCAGCGGTCACCTGCTTCTTCCCAGGTGCATACCAGCGGGAAGCTGTTTCCAAAGCAAACAGGGACTTGAAACAGGGACTTGAAACAAGCAGCGGGATCCTCCCCAATGGGGTCTTATCCACAGCACCAAAATCCAGTCCCTTACTTTTTTCTTTATAGAAATAGAATCCATAAAACTCAGAGTTGATGTACCATCAGTATTCAATCCCCACCAAACAAGAACTTTTGGCAATTTTTTTTTTTTAAATCAGCAGCCTGGGTATTCAGACAATGCATTTTTCTTTACTCTGACTTGCAGAATTCCAGTCCCTCTGTCTCTCCTTCTCTGACTTTCCAATAAAAATAAATAAATCTTTAAAGGTAAATAAATAAAACTAAATTAATAAATAAAATCTGTATTCCCTAACTATTCAGAATGAGAATCTCTCAGAAGGAAGATAAGCCATGTGTGTCTTTCACTCCAGAGCCCTGACTGTCCCAGGCAGGAGAGCGAACCAGGGATCCTAGGGGACAGCAGTAAGGAGTCAGTTCTTCCACTAACTCAGTTCTTCCACCGAGTTAAAGGACCATGAGGAGGAAGCAAGCAGAATCCACACTACTCCAAATGACCAGTGGCCGGGGTACAGACCCTCCAGTGCCCTGCTGTCTGGCAGTCACTTATTTTAAGGTGTATTATTTTTATTTTAAAGGCAGAGTTTTGGAGAGAAGCAAAGAGAGTATCTGTCATCGGCTGGCTCATTCCCCAAATGGCCACAAGCCATCTTGAAGCAAGGAGCCAGGAGCTTCCTCCAGGTCTCCCATGTGAGTGCAGGGGCCCAAGGACCTGAGCCATCCTCTGCTGCTTTCCATGCTTATAAACAGAGAACTGCACTGGAAATGTAGCAGCTAGAACTCGAATTGGTATCCAAATGGGATGCCAGTTTCTTGCACTAAGCTTAGCCTGCTATGCCAAAGGTCAGACCTGGCAGGCATTTATTAAGTATTCTCTATGTATAAGACTTTGTGACAGATGGTTTTTTCCAGTAAGAATGAATTTTTTTTAAGATTATATAAAATGGAGTTAAAAGATAATTTTCTAGAGGCTGGCAGTTTGTAGCATTGTAAGTGAAGCCTCTCCCTGCAGCACTGGCATCCCAGATGGGAACTAGTTTGTGTCCTGATTGCTCTAATTCCCTTCCAGCTCCAGAAGAAACTCCTGGTTCCTGGCATCAGATAGACTCAGCTCTGGCCATTGCAGCCATTTCGGGAGTAAAGCAGTGGATGCAAACTCTCCTGTTTCTGTAAACTCACCCTTCCAATAAAAATACAGAAATGGGGGGGGAGGGGATGATGTTTGTTTTTATGTCAGAAAATTTCAAAGGTCATGTATTGTTTTTGAGAATATGCACTTTCTAGGAACTTTTCAAATACTCATGTCACACAGCCCTATGCAGGCAGGATCCTGTTTGCCTGTTCACCCTCTGGAAGCCTTGCTCTGTGCATGACAATCAGATCAAGTCAAAGAGGCTCTACCATCTCCAGAGGGCATCCAACTAAGTATGGTGCCTCATGGGGCTGGCACCATGGCACAGCCTGTGAATCCTCACTCTGGGACACCAGCATCCCATATGGGCACCAGTTCAAGTCCCGGTTGCTCCACTTCTCATCTAGTTTCCTGCTAATGGCCTGAGAAGGCAACAGAGAAAGACTCAAAACCTTGAGTCTCTGCACCCCTGTGGCAGACCTGGAAAAAGCTCCGGGCTTCAGACCAGCCCAGCTCCAGCCATTGCGATCATTTAGGGAATGAACAAGAGGATGGAAGATCTTTCTCTGTGTGTCTCTTTTCTCTGTAAATTGGCCTTTCAACTAAAGACATTTTTTTTTAAAAAAGTGCACCAAAAATCTCTCTCCAAATCAAGGCTTATCCAATTGTGCCAAAGTAAAAACCCATTTTTAGTAGACTTTTTAAAAAGCCCTTAAGTAGGGCCCAGCTCAGTAGCCGAGTGGCTAAAGTCCTCACCCTGCACATGCCAGAATCCCATATTAGTACCAGTTCTAATCCCACTAAGGGAAGCTTAGTGGCCACGCTTCCCATCCAGCTTCCTACGTCTGGCCTGAGAAAGCAGTCAAGAATAGTCCAAAGCCTTGGGAGCCTGCACCCACATGGGAGACCTGGAAGAGGCTCCTGGTTCCTGGCTTCGAATTGGCTTAGCTCTGGCCACTGCAGCCACTTAGGAAGTGAACCAGCAGACGGAAAATCTTTCTCTCTGTCTCTCGTCCTCTCTGTATATTTGACTTTCCAATTAATATTTGTTAAAAATAAATAAATTTAAAAAACCTTAAGTAGCAAATAAATAGAATGTTTAAAGCAAAATGAAAAAGAATATAAAGAAAAAACAATGAAGGAGTATAGTAGAAGAAAATGGAGTTGGGGATTTTGATGCTGGGCAACCTTGGGCTAACTGCATGCTCTAGGAATGCAATTCTTTGTCCCTTGTCACTGCCTCCGTCATTCTTTGATAAACTGTGGACATGACTTTATTACAGATAGTCATCTCACTGACCAGCAAAGAATTACGGGCCTATTCCAAAGCCGGGGCTGTGGCAGAAGAAGTCTTGTCCTCAATTCAAACGGTGATAGCCTTTGGAGCACAGGAGAAAGAAATTCAAAGGTCTGATCCCTTCATTACAGTGGAATACACTTGTTTTCATCTCCGCCTTGGGATGTTTCATTGTCTTTTACTTCTACCAGGTATACCAAGAACCTCAGAGATGCAAAGGATGTTGGCATCAAAAAGGCCATAGCTTCTAAACTGTCTCTCGGGGCAGTGTACTTCTTCATGAACGGAACTTACGGACTCGCCTTCTGGTATGGAACCTCCCTGATCCTCAGCGGAGAACCGGGTTATACCATCGGCACCGTTCTTGCGGTAAGTCTTGATTGAGAGCAGAGATCTCTGGCCTAGACCACCTGCTGTTCCCTAGCGTGGAGTCAGAACTCCTCCGGAAGCAACAATGAGTATACACAGGTGAATAGCTTCCGTCCACAGATATTTGTTTCCATCCACTGATTGGTATCTACTTTTAAGTTATAATTATGAATTGACAGGATTACTCATCCAGCGTGCTTTAGAATCCTTGTTAACCAAGCAGTATGCTTTTGCGAGAGTCATGACTGAATTCCCTACTGTAGACTCAGAGCTTTTTTAATCCAACAGTTAAAATTCCTACTCTCTGGAAACACATTCACCTCCATCTGTGTTCAGATAAAGTGAGTCTCGACAGCCATCTTGCTTAATGTGAATTGAACTCACCTGCCCTCCTCCACCTGTCCAGCATGCCAATGTAAAGTCTTATATACCTCTAGGAGTTACATATTCAGTTATCATTTATTCAGGGCCATCCTTCTTAATATTAACAACAAATAGGTCATTTTGAGATGAAGAAATGTGAGCTAACCTGATTGTCTCTAACAACTTCAGTTAGTGTTTGGCCTTCCCAATGCGATGCACCTTCTCTTCTTTCAACTGCATGGTTCCCTTTTTAAAGAAAGATTGATTTGTTTATATATTCATTAATCTCTTCACTTGAAAGGCAAAGTGACAGAAAGAGAGCGATACCAAGAAAAAGAGATTTGGGAGTGAATTCACTCCCCAAATAAGGCCACAAAATCCAAGACTGGGCCAGAACAAACACAGAAAATAGGAACTCAATCCAGATCCCTGACATGGCCAGGAATCCAGGTACTTAAGCCATCAACTGCTGCTTCCACACATAGGGAGCTGGGATAGAAACAAAGCAACCAGGAAGAGAATGGCGCACCAGGATGGGAGGCCAGTGTTACCCGAGGTGGCTTCACCTGCGGCACCCAGAACACAGTCCCGAAGTACCCCTCTTGAATTCAAGATGTTCACAGTTAAGGCTTGAAACTTTTCATTAAGTTGATATAAAGCAAAAAGTAAACATAAAGAATTTTGGGTCGGGCTCAGTACGTTAGCCTAGCAGCTAAAGTCCTCGCCTTGCACATATCAGTATCCCATATTAGTACTGGTTCTAATCTTGGCAGTCCTGCTTCCCATCCAGCTCCCTGCTGTGGCCTGGGAGGGCAGGTGAGGACAGCCCAAAGCCTTGGGACCCTGCACCTGCATGGGAGACCCAGAGGAGGCTCTGGGCTCCTGGCTTCAGATTGGCTTAGCTCCAGCCATTGCGGCTACTTGGGGAGTGAATTATCAGACAGAAGATCTTCCTTTCTGTCTTTCCTCCTCTCTGAATATCTGACTTTGCAATAAAAATAAATAAATCTTTTTTAAAAAGAATTTGAGGTTAATCCTTGCTCCATGATTTATTTCTGTTTTTAGTATCCTCATCTTAGCAGGCAACAACCACAAGAGTACAGATGATAAACAGCTATTCCACATTAGGAAAAAAATAATTATTTGGACAATAAGTTCTTATTTTTATTTCTTTCAGTATTAATTACTCAAATAGCTCTCTGTGAGCCTAAACAAAGTATATAAGAGCAGTCTTCAGAAAGCTTATGAAACATACATATTATGAACAAAAAATGTATAGATTTTAAACAATGTGTGCACCAGAATGGTCTTAGCATGAACTTTTACAAGGGCCCTGGTCCTTCACACTGCTGTCTTTTCTCACGCAGGTGCAAGGCGGTAACTCTTGCTTTCCGTCCCTGCAGGTTTTCTTCAGCGTCATCCACAGCAGTTACTGCATAGGAGCAGCCGCCCCTCACTTTGAAACCTTCACGGTAGCCCGAGGAGCAGCCTTCACCGTCTTCCAGCTGATTGATAAGGTACTGCTTGGAAGCCCAACAAAGTCATGTCACTAAAACAACAGGATAGGCAAAGTTCCATGTCGGCTAGGGCAAGAAGGTCTGCTCTTGGGCCGGGGTGGTCACCCGTTTTTGATAATAAGGAAGCATATTTGGGAGATCTACTATTTCTTTTTTTTTTTTAAGATTTATTTTTATTATTTTTTTATTGGAAAGGCAGATATACAGAGAGGAGAGACAGAGAGGAAGATCTTCCGTCCGATGATTCACTCCCCAAGTGAGCACAACGGCCGATGCTATGCCGATCTGAAGCCAGGAGCCTCTTCCAGGGTCTCCCACGCGGGTGCAGGGTCCCAAAGCTTTGGGCCGTCCTCGTCTGCTTTCCCAGGCCACAAGCAGGGAGCTGGATGGGAAGTGGAGCTGCCAGGATAGAAGCGGCGCCCATATGGGATCCTGGGCGTGCAAGGCGAGGACCTTAACCACTGCGCCACCATGCCGGGCCCTACTATTTCTTTTTATATAAAGATTTATTTATCTACTTTGAAAGCATTAGAGAAAGAGGGAGAGAGAGACAGAGTCTTCATCCATTGGTTTACTCCCCAGGTGGCTTACAATGTCAAGGACTGGGCAAGGAGCCAGGAAATTCTTCCAGGTCTCTCATGTGATTGCAGGGGACCAAGCACTTGGGCAATCCTCTGTTGCTTTCCCAGGCTGTTAACCGGGAGGTGGATCAGAAGCAGAGCAACTGGGACTCAAACCAATGTCCCTGTGGGATGCTGGCATTATAGGCAGTGTCTAAACAGGCTCTGCAGGATCACTTTTAACTGCTTTTATGAGGGGTTATACCCCTTGAAACCTTCATGACTAAGCCAATACACTTCTATTGTAGAAAGAAAACTGTGGCTAAAAAAAAAAAGAAGAAGAAAAGGAAAAGGGAAAACTATTTTTAGAATTAAGTCTTTGAAGATTTATAACATGCTTCTTATTTTTTAAGAAACCCAGTATAGATAACTTCTCAACAACCGGATATAAACCTGACTGCATAGAAGGCACTGTGGAATTTAAAAACGTCTCTTTCCATTACCCCTCAAGACCATCTGTTAAGGTAGGTTAAAACTATCGGTCTTTTTTTTTTTTTTTGGATACTGTCTTCAATTGGCTAAACTTTTATGAGATTACTTGCTATTTTTTGATGAAGATTTTGATGACTTTGTGTAGAAATTTCAATAGAGAAGTTGATCCTAGATATGTAATTCTGAAACACCCCGTTAGATTCTGCAGCCTCTTCCCTGGATTCAAAGCACTAAGGCATGGTCACCTCCCAGGAACAACTCCTGGGACTTGGAAGCACACCAAATACCTTGGATTCCTGGCGCCACCTAAGGGTGGTCTCTGGATGCTACCCCACTGAAAACGGGCAATTCCTAACTCTGTTTTCTGACTTTCCCTTTCCCAGGACCTTTGCTGTCTTTGTGCCTCGCACACACACAGTACATCCGTGTTCAACAAACACACAAACACACATGAAAGGCACACACGCGGGGGACACTGGGCGGCCCGGACCGGGCGGGTTCCCACCCCGGGGTCTACAGAGGAACCGACCAGAAGTCATCCCACTGCAATGGAGCACTGCAGCCCCAACCCCCGGGCTGCCCCGTGGCGCCTGGGGTGGTGCTGGAGGTGCTGGTGGCCGCCACGACCTGCTCGCGGGAGCTAGGGGACCCTGACTGTGCCCTCCTGCAGATGTCCTCACTGGCCCCCCACTGCGGAGGAAGGGGACACTGCTGCCCGGTCCAGCCGAGGAGGAGCCGGACATAGCTGGCCTGAGAGAGGAGATCGAGAAGGAGGACGAGGAGGAAAGAGTCTCATCCTGGAAGACAAGAGGGAAAAGAAAAGAGCAGAGAGGTTGACCATGCAAGTCTCTTGCTTACAGAGAGAGCCATTTACAATTGCAAAGGGAAAGGGACAGAAACTGTGAAATTGAAAGGATACACTTCTTCCTGAGTAAGAAGGAAACAGATGACCTTAGAAATCTTCACAAACTACTTTAGACCGGGCACAGTGTCCTCATTAAAGAAGAGTGTGGGTCAGTGCAGTAGCTTTCCATTTGAAAAAGGAAATGCCCAGTATAAAAAAGAAGGAAGAAATCGGGTGTAAACTTTGAACTAGTGAAGAGGATCTTGAATTTCCTGAGGGATTCAAAGCCTTCTGGCAAACCACTACCCAAGTGTTACAAAGACTTCTAGCCAAGGCAGTGAGAAGGAACACAAACGTTCTGAAACGGCAAAGAAAGCCAAACAGACCGAATATCCTGAGATTCTGTCAGGTGAACCTGGTAGTAATGAAGATGAGAAACAAGGAAGAATCCCCGGAGGAGGGAGATAAGGCAGAGGAGCCGCCAAAACCAGACAATCAGATCAGGACCTGAACAGAAAGCTGCAGCCAACAGTTAAATATCTGTAAGACGTGCAGGTGTTACGCACACAGCAGCACCACCACGAAGAACCTAAACGGTTCCAAGAAAGAAAGGAACCCTTAATTTTAAAAAAAAATGGAAGAAACAACCTACAGATGAAGAGTTAAAGGAAATAATAAAGAAATTGTTGGCCAATGCTAACTTGGAGAAAGTCACAATGAAGCAAATCTATTAAGAGTTATATGAACATTATCCTGCTTATGACTTAACCGAAAGATTTTATAACAACAACTGTTAATGAACTCATTTCTTGAGATTGTGACAGAGGAAGAGGGAGATTTATACCATTATAACCAGTCAGGAGAATGTAACTCCTTTTCTAAATCCTTGTTAAGTACTGTTGGCAGAACTAAACTGCTGACCTTTCACTGTCTTGAGTGCTACGTAAAATTGAATTTGCAGTTTTAAATTGCATTTCCATGCAGGTTTTAGTTTAAACTCTTGCGTGGCAGTACTTGTTCCTTGCTTCTACAGTTGTATTTTGCACATTTTTTATTTCTTTATTTAAGGTCATAGATTCGTGTGGTTTGCAGTGCACTTAATATTAGCTTGCTTAAGACCTTTTTCTTTTAACTAAATCGAACAAAACTATCATTGGCATTTGTACACAGACTGTCGCAGTATTTAGTACGTGAAATATTTTGAATACGCGTCTGTTCTGTCAGAGGGAAAGCTCACTGATGGTTTGGATCGTAGAACAGAAACCACGGTTGTCCAGAGAACTAAACTGGAACTTCTCTGCATGTACATATATGTCAAATTGTCAGCATGACAGAAGTTATCTTTGTATCTTTAAAAACCAATTTGCTGTGCCTGGTACAGTGGTCTAGCAGCTAAAGTCCTCGCCTTGAATGCACCAGGATCCCATATGGGCGCTGGTTCTACTCCTGGTGGTCCCAATTCTCATCCTGTTCCTGCTTGTGGCCTGAGAAAGCAGTCAAGTATGGCCCAAAGCCTTGGGATCCTGAACCCGCGTGGGAGACCCGGAAGAGGCTCCTGGCTTTTAGTTTCGAATCGGCACAGCAACGGCCATTGCAGTCACTTGGGGAGTGAACCAACGGACAGAAGATCTTCCTCTCTGTCTCTCCTCTGTATATCTGACTTTGCAATAAAAATAAAATAAATTTTAAAAACTTTTTGTTGTATCCAGTGTTTTAATATTTTTTGTGTGTGAAGATCAATTTTTAAACTCCTGTGGGTAGGTGTCTTTCCACTTACAAACCATGAACAGTCAGTGAAGCCGGCAGTGTGAGTGAGCAGTGAAGTCAGAACACAGAGACCAGGCACTGGAGGACCCTGCTCTCCTGGCCCGCCTTTAGCGCACTCAGTGTGGAGTTTCACTGCTGAGGCTGCACAAATGGTTGTTGACACATTTTCTATTAAAGACACACCAAAAAAACATCAAAATTTCCAAAACTTTTGGAAAGAAGTTACATATAAGCACATTTGACTTACTAGTAAATGAATCAATTTTTAATAACTGCTTTGCCCATAAAAAATGTGAATATTTATAGAAAACTTGGACTGTTGTCGTAAGTATGACAGAAGTACCAGATGTAGTGCCAGGATTGATACACGGAAGTAGATTTCTCCGACAAAGTGTTTCTCAGAAATAATAATATGCCAATGGGCCCGGCGCGGTGGCGCAAGTGGTTAAAGGTCCTCGCCTTGCACGCCCGGGATCCCATATGGGCGCCGGTTCTAATCCCGGCAGCCCCGCTTCCCTTCCAGCTCCCTGCCTGTGGCCTGGGAAAGCAGTCGAGGACAGCCCAAAGCTTTGGGATCCTGCACCCGCGTGGGAGACCCAGAAGAGGCTCCTGGCTTCGGATCGGCATAGTATCGACCCGTTGCGCTCACTTGGGGAGTGAATCATCGGATGGAAGATCTTCCTCTCTGTCTCTCCTCTCTGTATATCCGCCTTTCCAATGAAAAAAATAATAAAAATAAATCTTTAAAAAAAAAAAAATAATAATAATATGCCAATCAGCAGATGGAACACTCTAGAATGAGGCCCATTTTACCTTTGTCTTAATCACTTCATTAAACTTCTGAATTTAAACTAAACCATGCTGCTATAACAAATCAGTTGATGTGCCCATCTTTGCCTCATGGAAACTGATTTTGAACGTAAACTGGTGTTTTCACAAGTTTGACTTGTTTCTCAATAGTTAATATTTTAGGAAATGATATGTTTACTAATAAGGGAATGGAATTATAAGCAACTAAGGGAGACCTAGAAATCAGGTTTGGATTTTAAATATTCTTGCAAACCTTGTGCATAAAAATTACAACTCTCAAAAAGAAAGCACTCACGCACTGCTGTGCAAACTCACACACACGCACATACACGCAGTGTACGCCCTTCTTCCATCATTCAGCCCTGGACATATTCTGATAGATGTCCTGTGAAAAACTGTCTTTTGTCTCCTTGTCCTTTTACGCACGCACTTACTCCCTCCAGAAAAGTAGTTATTGTTAAAGACTGCAAAACAACAACACCTGTTTCATGGGGGGGGGGGGGATATAATTTTAAGGGTCATCAATCAAATTACTAGTGTCACCAGCTTTTAATGTACAGATGCTCCTATTTCCTTACTTTCCCCTGACTAAATTTTTACTCAAAATTTTCTTTTCAACTCTTTTGGGGAAAAAAAATTATCATCAATTGCCATTATCAGAAAAATGTGGCCTCCTACCAAAATTTTATGAACTTCGAATATTTCTAGCTTCACTTCTAAATACATGTAGTTGGCATCTAGATAGACAACTCTATTGCACAGTGAAGTGTCTTTTGAGATCTTAAAAAAAAAAAAAAAAAGATTCTGAACTTCTGAAACCTAACCCTTTGTGTTAAGCTAAAGAATGCATTTGTTAAGGGTCTCCCCCCACCTCTCCACCCCCAGTTTAAACAAATAAAACTCCGATTCTTCCAAGGAATGGGCAGAAAGGAGTAAAAGTGCTGGTGGGAGATGACGTGGTCCTGAATTTCTCACCTGCTTTAGAGAATGCTCGCTGCTTGGCTCTTTGAAGGTTCTGCAAGTGGCTGTTTAGAGGGTTGATTCCTTTACAAACGGTGAGATCAAAGGGATAGAATGCAAGAGGAGCCGCCTTTGTTTAGGGTTGAACCCAAAGTCAGAGAGGTGAGAGAGTCTCCACGGGGTGGCTGATTGTCACTCGGGTAATTAGCGGGAGGCTCCACTTCCCAGCCAGGTGCCTGGGACTCTAGCTGGAAGTTAACTCCCCAACACAGGAAAATGCTCCCCTTATGTTGAAAATCCCTTTGACAGTCACCATTGGAGAAGGGAGATTTCCCAGGGCGACGTCCCGGCTGGGTGAGAAGCTAAGAAGTCTTGTAACAAAGTCAAGTGTGTTCTGTGGAGGAGCCTGCTTGAGCAGCCCCCACACAAAGCTGTCTGACAATATTTTATTCTGTTGTTACCAACTGGAAGACGAAACGAACGTGATAGCCATGAAATTATTGTCAAGCATGTTAACTGGAAATACAGTTTGTCATAGCTGGTAATGTTCCCTGAGTACTCTTAGCATTCCTCCCCTCTAACCTGGAAACTGGATTTTACCATACTCCCTCACGAATTAGATGGGTTTTCATCATGCATATACCTGGAACATCACAAGACCTAAATACCTCTGTAGAGTTTTCCGGAGACTGAAGTTTGCAATCCCTCCATTGCATAGCCTGCTCTGTCTGCATCCTTTGCCTTCCTGATCCTAACAGGTTCTGAGCGGTCTGAATCTCAAAATCCAACCTGGACAGGTGGTAGCCTTGGTTGGCCCCAGCGGCAGCGGCAAGAGCACAGTGGTCCAACTTCTACAGAGACTGTATGATCCCAGCGATGGTTCCGTAAGTGCAGATGGCAAAACCATGCCTGGTCCGTGGGCAGAGATGGGGAAATACCGCCTGGCACACACAGAGAACCAGCTCTGCGCAGTGGAGCTGGGAGAGGAGCCACCCTATTTCCTGGGGTGCTCACTGCTTCTACAAACCTTTAGACCCTCCCTACCTTGTATCAGGCACTGTTCTGGGTTCTGGGAGTTCCTCAGTGGACAAATTCGATTAAAACATCTCTCCCTTCATGACAGCTAAAAGGCAGAGATAAACGATAAACAGATTACATGAATTATATAGGCTGTTCAAGAGAATGGATGCTTGGGGGGGGAGCACCTCAATTTGGAGCATTCAGTATGGATCAAGAATCAAAGTTTGTCAAAACTTCCTAGAAAGAATGGGGTCTACAGAAAGCCCCCTCACCACTGGACTTTCCTGGGGTGTACATGTTTGTTCTTAATCTTTCTCCACCTGAGGCGTGGCACATAGCATGCGATGACAATATTCACAAATGCAAACGCTCACCTTCAAGCACGTTCAAACGTCTGAAGGGAACTGAGGGGTGGAGACCTTGGTTCTATTTAAACTGCATCCCTCTTCCCTGACCATCCCAGACCCACCCACAGGTCTATCCTGACACTGACCAGACCCTAGATTGGTTGGGTGCTTTTTGTCTGTATCATGTAGCTGCTTTTCTTGTACCCAGGGGGAGAAAAAGAGATGCCACCAGCCTCTGCAGGCGCCACGGTCACCACCCTGGCCTCTTTGACCAGATCACGTCAGGGCAACGGTCATGCACTATCTCCAACAAGTCAGGGGTCAGACAGGATCTAGTACAGAGCCCTGGCTCTTTAATTCAGAGTAACTGGCAAAGGAGCCAGCAGGAAGGCTACACCCTGAAGGAACTTCAAGGCAATACAGGTCTTCAAGTAACAAAACTGATTTGCCACCTGAACCTACATAACCCCATTTCTATCACCTCCAGTTTTAGCACACGCACACGGAATGTGCAGACCTTAGAATAAAGGCATTCCAAGGGCAAGTGGGGAGAGAGGTGATTGGTTCCCACCTCTCAGAAAAAAAAAAAAAAAAGTCCCATCGCTAAGCAAATGTCCCAAATGTCCTAACAAGGAGTAAAACAGTCTTTGATTCCCGGACATGCACTGCTTCTCGGTGTATGTGACACAAATAACCCCACCACGGGGTTCCTGGTTCGGCTTTGCAGATCACGGTGGATGATCAGGACCTGCGAGCCTTGAACGTGCGGTGCTACCGAGAACACGTCGGGGTGGTCAGCCAAGAGCCCGTCCTGTTCGCGACCAGCATCAGCGACAACATCAAGTACGGACGCGACGGAGTGACGGACGAGGAGGTGGAGAGGGCAGCGAAGGAGGCCAACGCTTACGAGTTCATAATGGCGCTTCCTAAGGTGAGCCCAATCAACTGGCGCAGAACAGGGGCGGTGTAGCCAACCTGCTGATCGCCCGGCTCTGGCCGGCTAGATGTGCCTGCCAAAAGTGGGTTTGCAAAAGTGGGTTTGCGAGGCCATCTTGTGGCCGCGAGGGAGAAATGTTACCGTTGCAACCACGGAAGGCATGCAAGTAAAACACGACCTCATGCTTGGAGGGAAATAGACCCCACTAAAACCCGTGGGCCTCTCAGCTCTTAAAGGGCACCTAAGGTGCAGAAAGCGCTGGAAAATCACTCATTTCCTGAAGCGCTAGTTCACGGCGTCACCTGAGATTGCTGTGGGACGCTCCCTCTGAAATGTAAAAGAATGGGAGTTGAAATTGAAATGTGAGCAAGTTTTTCTCATCTTGGAAAAGGCTCACTAACCTAAATATGTATATTTCATAAACTATTCCCCCCCCTTTTTTTCTTTCTTTTGATTTAAACAAATGTTATAAGGCCAGAAAATGCTCTCTCATAATTTAGGGTCCTTCTTATCCCAGTATTTAGGCAAGCAAAATCAGCTAAGGGCAGGAATTGAGTTTTATGAGATTTGGAAAAACACTTTCTTCCTCTTGATTTTTTTTTTTTTTTTTTTTTTTTTTTTGCCTGTTTGAACTATTTTCTTCTCACATCATGCCCAAACCTGTTCGGTTTCCCACTTGGAATTACCGAGTTCCCTGGTGTCTCTTTACCTGTAGGTTCCTTCTTGCTTGTATTAAAAAGACAAAGACACACCCTGCTATAAATCCCATAGTGGATCCTAAAGATATAACCCAAAGAACAAATTAAAAATACTGGCTTATCATGATGAAAACCAAATTCCACAGTCATGATTAACTAGATAGGAGTCAGCATAAAAATAAACTTTCCCAAAGTGCCTGGGTTCAGGTAGATGGAAAATTAGGGAAAGTTGTCTTCAAAAATGAATTCACTGGGGGGAGGGGAGATGTGATGTGATGGCTAATCCTCCCCCTGCAAGCCCGTGCACCACATGTGGGTGCTGGTGTGTCCCGGCTGCTCCACTTCCATGCAGCTCCCTACTTGTGGCCTGGGAAAGCAGTCAAGGATGGCCCAAAGCCTTGGCACCCAAGTAGGACATTCAGAAGAGGATTCTGGCTCCTGGCTTCAGATCAGCCCAGCTCTGGCCCTTGTGGCCGGCCACATGGTGAGTGAGCCAGTGGGTGGAAAATCTTTCTCTCTATATGTCTCCTGTCTGTAAATCTGCCTTTCTGATAAAAATAAATAAATCTTTTAAAAATGAATTCATTACATCACTAGTAGGCAGATCTTTTTTTAAATGAACATGTTAGAATTAGATGAAACCAGCTAGCCATTTGCCCATAAACAGCAAAAACATAAAAAATAAAATAAATAAAACACAGGAAGCATGGGACAAATGTTCCCAAATGTTACCCCAGAGGTAGTGACACCCCAGAATTCTGCAAGGGGAGTCCAGGGGAACTGCACTAGCAGCACTCTGCATGGGAACCGCAGCCTAACTCCCTGAGCTGGGACCAGGCAGAAGACAGCAGGCCTTTGAATCAGCTTGAGCAACTGGGAGGGCAGCCCGGGAGCTGTGGAGCTGAGCTGGAGGGGCGGAAGGCCCCTGTGAGCATCCCACGAAATCCTGTCTGAGGATGAGATCGCCAAGATTTGCCAAGAGTACAGCAGTTACAAAACCTAGTGGGAAAAAAAAAAAAGACTGTGGGAGATGCACTGAGCTCTGCCAGCACTGACAGTGCAGCCCAGCCCCTGGAGAGCGCGTGTGAACACCTCTCTAACACTCCAGGCATGTGGCTAAGACACCCACAACACCACACCTTAGAGGCAGGAGCCACACCCTAGAAGCAGCTCAACTCCAGACCTGCCCTAGCCAAGCCTAAAACCAAGCCAAAACAAGATCCCCAGAGGAGATAGATTTTGGGGATCCGGTCTTGCCAAGCTACAGCTTGGCTGACAAAACTTTCAGCCAAGAATGTATAACTTCAACATGGTCAACCAATGTGGAAACTACCTTCTCTCACAAAAACCACCAATTTTTTTTTTCAGAAGCCAAAATTCAGAGTCTCTCCAAGATAAACACATTATTAATCAGTATGGAATTGATAAAAATGGGAGGGACATTCAAAGCACCAGGAGAGCATGGCCTTACGCAGGAAACGCTGTCCTAAATGTGTGTTAAATGGAGAAATAGACAAACCCACTAGGGTAGGTGACAGAATAAATGGACAGATCTTCAAGAGCAACACCGTCAACCCACCAGATCTAACTGATGGGTAGCGCGTATCTCCCTCCCGGACAGCAGAATCTACTGTTCTCAGGAAAGTTCACTGAGATAAGCAATACCTGAGCCATGCCAAGCGCAAATAAAACAACACCTGAGCAGTTCCGAAGAAAACACAGACCTAGACTCTCTGTCCAGAAAAAAAAATTAAACTAAAAAACCAATATAACACAGAAATCGACTTGGAAAAAGCAACACACATCGGGGAATTAGATGGACACATCTGTAACTCCATGAGGAAGTCGCAAGGCTCATTAACCCTTTTGTACTTGACAAAAGGGAAGACACATTTAACAGCTTTGAGAAAGCAATGCTTCGAGAGAAACATACAGTACTAAATGCTTACTTTTGGAAAAGAAAAAAAAAACTACCATCTTCAAAACAAGTTGGTTTTTTTTTTTAAGATTTTATTTTTATTTATTGAAAAGTCAGATATACAGAGAGGAGGAGAGACAGAGAGGAAGATCTTCCGTCCAATGATTCACTCCCCAAGTGAGCGCAACAGCCGATGCTATGCCGATCCGAGGCCAGGATCCAGGAACTTCTTCCGGGTATCCCACAGGGGTGCAGGGTCCCAAAGCTTTGGGCCATTCTCCACTGCTTTCCCAGGCCACAAGCAGGGAGCGGATGGGAAGTGGAGCTGCCGGGATTAGAACCAGCGCCCATATGGGATCCTGGGCGCGTTCAAGGCGAGGACTTTTGCCGCTAGGCCACGCCGCCGGGCCCCAAGGGTATTCATTTAAATAGTCTTCCCAAACCTTGTATTTCTAGGATTTGACTTTTACATTTAAAGAAAAACAAATCACGTTTACTGATGAATGATTTTATGCTACGAGAATGAAAGCCAGGAACAGGGACTGGTCCTGTGGTAGAATGGAGTAAGCCAACACCTGACATCCCATATGAGTCCCGCCTGCTCTGCTGCTGACCCTGCCAACGTGCCTGGGAAAGCAGTGCATATTAGGATAGCCCTGGTGATTGTGCCCCTACCACCCACCTGGGAGACCCAGATGGGGTTCCTGGCCAAAGGATGGAAGATCTCTGCGTGCCCCATTCTGTAACGCTACCTTTCAAATAAGAAAGTAAATCTTAATAAAGACTCAGAAGTCAGACTAAAGCAGTGACTACATTTCAACTGTTGGCTGTTTCTTGTTCTCATCATCCGATCACACTATCGTTTCTGTGTTTTCTCCTGTTTTTCACCAGAAATTTAATACACTGGTAGGGGAAAAAGGAGCTCAAATGAGCGGAGGGCAGAAACAGAGAATCTCCATTGCCCGCGCTTTAGTTCGAAACCCGAAGATTCTGATCCTGGATGAAGCTACGTCTGCCCTGGATACAGAGAGTGAATCCGTGGTTCAAGCTGCACTGGAGAAGGTAGGCAGACAAAGGCATGTGCAAGCCGCTTGGGTCATGACCATTGTTCTTAAACACAAGACAGTTTGGTGTGTGGTGTGCCTTGTGTGGCGAGTGCAGAGCAAGCAAGCAGGGATGGTTCCAGAAACATGACTTGGTCATGGGAAGAAATACAGTAGTTCTGGCTGAAAACAAGTGTATTGTGAGGCCACCCTGTCAGCAAGCATCCTGCTCAGCCCTCTGTCTGACCAGTGTGCCCTTTCCAACTCCCATTGCCCATTACCCCTACCATCGCCACTGTAGCCACATCCAGCTGGTGCCACATCTGTACTCATCCGTAGGATGCTCAGCTCTGCCCCACTGCCTACTTTTAGGTCATTTTTATCTGATTTCACCACAAATGGACAAGCATTGACCTTAACCATCCCCTCTAACACCCTTAAAACCTCACTCTGACCTTCTGACACGGCAGAGGGCTGTATCTGCTTCCTGGCCCACAGGCCACCGTGTACCAGTACAAAAAGACACTTCATCATGGAGGGGAATTGAGCCGTTTTTTTCATGATTGAGCTCCCTTTTTTAAAATCATGGCCTTCAGAATCCTCAGAAGGCATCATTGACACAGTGTATTTTGCGTTGGCTTAGAAAGGTGCAAAGTGGCTTGCTCTCTGAGAAACTGGCATGAGTCTCATTTTTAGTGCTGACTTTCTGGGGTCAGAAATGGACACTGGTAACCAGAACGCTCACAGCTTATTAAGAAATAGATTTCTATTAATCCTCACACATCAGATTGTGTAAGTTTTTCTCCTTGTTTTCCTCCCATGGAAAGAGTGGCATATGGTACTTGCATGATGTGAAAAATATGTGTTTACTGTGGAGAAAGCGTGCCAACTGGATTCATCTTGGTAAAGAAGAAGCCAAGAGCAGAGTTAATGCTTTAGTCATGTATTAATGCTTAGTAACCAGGACAGAGATGTTTACCCAGAATTCACTCAATAAATTTTCTTTGATTATTGTAACATTAATTATTTAAGCCTTGGATGCATTAAAATTACACGTAACAAATTCTTACCGCATATAGATTTTTATAGTCTGTGTAATGGGCTCTCAAGTTGTTTAGAGATTGAATATGCCCATTGTCTTGTGATCCAATATGTTAATGACTTGAGACAATCAAAATTAGCTCCAGCTTTTAGAGTAAATATTTGTTGTCAACAAAATAAACTCAAAGATTTTACCCAATATTGGTTAAAGTAAAGTCTCTGTCATAAGCCTAACAAGAGAAGAACGCAAAATGTGTATGAGCTGTGACCCCAAGTCCATCACATGGGTATACCAGTGAGCAGAGGTGAAGGCAGCATATATGAACATATCATCATGTGTCATGTCAGAACGGGGATACATTCTGAGAAATGCGCCAATAGGAGATCTGGTCACTGAGCAAACACCACAGCATGCGCTTACACAAGCCTGTAAGACGTAGATCCTAACTCACCTAGGAGTTACACGAACAGTTACTCCATACTAATGTCCTCAAAAATGTATGATTTCTAGCTTTTTTTTTTACTTAATAAATTTATTTTTTAGCTTTTTGACTCGTGTGTAAGCTTAGAACCCAAGCACATCGTACAGCTGCACAAAAAATATTTCCTTTGGGGTTGGGCACCGTGGTAGAGGAAGGTTATGCCACTGCTTGGGATACCCAATCCCACATTATGATGTCTAGGATGGAATCCAACCCCTAACTGCCAATCTTAGCTTCCTGCTAATGTGCCCAGGCAGGAAGCAGTGGATGTTGGTCCCAGTATTTGGTTTCCTGCCACCCACGTGGGACAGAGGCCTGGCTGGAATTGCAAGCTCCAGGCTTCAGTCTGGCCCATCCCCAGGTACTCTGGTGAGTGAACCAGCATTTGGAAAATTTCTCTCTCTCTCTTTCTCTCTCTCAAGAACTTGTGCATGACTTTGACACAGGATTCTTCAAAAACATGAAGGCCTCCTTTCCGGCTTCCCAAGTTCAGGATTTTTAGTTTTGTATCGCTCGTCAGTCAGCAGGAGGATCTAGGGTGAATGGATGAGTGTGTGTGCTGAGCTATGGGCCTCCCTACGCTCTGGAGTTTGGACCTGGGTGCCAATGCTGCAAGCTGTCCCAGTAGCGGAAGCAGAGCTGTGAGCACCTGCAGCTGGCAGCCCTTGGGGAACCAAAGAAAGCCATGCTGTTTCTATGATAGGACCTGCTTTGGACACATTTAAAGTGGGTTGCAAGCCTAAGGCATGACTTTTATGAAAGCAGGTCCAGCCCCATCCATCACATCAGTGGGGAACTTGTGGGCAGTCCCATTCCTAATTATGAAGAAAGGGGTCTGTCCCATCAGAGCGGCACTGTGTGAAGACAGAGTGGCTTTGGTGCATCCCCCAGAGGCGTCTCCTGATATCGTCCTCTCACCACAAGGCACCCTGTAGCTCTTTTTCAGAGACGCTCTCCTTTATATTTATTCTATTTTAAAAGCTACACTAGAATATCAGTGTATTATATTAAATTGCTGGCTATTTTATTAAACTAACCCTCTGAGTCAAAGCTGGGCTAACTTACACATACACATTTTGATAGTTCTTTTAACTACTGTATTTGTACATGGAATTGGAGGATATTAGAAAACCCTTATAGCTGTTTGCAGCCACACTTTGATAGTTTGGAACAGTCAGGGACTCTCTCCAATGGGATTTCCTGGATGGAATTAAGCCAGCTGAGCAAAACGACCACAAAGATTACTACAGCTGAGCATCATGGGATGTGTTGTGAGCCTGGTGGACCAAGCTCACAACTGGATACCACGCAGGAGTTTAAATTGAAAGCCACTGATTCCCTTCTGGAGAATGGTTCTCCACCTTCGGCAGATCATGGCCCCCTTGAAAATGTACAATAATCTTATACAAAAAAAGTGACAAGTTCCCTATGGTATTGAAAGTCAACTGGCTTAGGGCCCAGCGCGATAGCGTAGTGGTTAAAGTCCTTGCCTTACACGCGCCAGGATCCCATATGGGCACCAGTTCTAATCTCGGCAGTCCCACTTCCCATCCAGCTCCCTACTTGTGGCCCAGGAAAGCAGTTGAGGATGGCCCAAAGCCTTGGGACCCTGCACCAGCATGGGAGACCCAGAAGAGCTCCTGGCTCCTGGCCTCGGATTGGCTCAGCTCCAGCCATTGCGGCCACTTGGGGAGTGAATCATTGGATGGAAGATCTTCCTCTCTGTCTCCCCTCCTCTCTGTATATCTGCCTTTGCAACAAAAATAAATAAACCTTAAAAAAAAGAGAGAAAGAAAAGAAAGTCAACTGGCTTAATATTCTTTTGTAATGTGGGGCTTTTGATTTTACATCTAGGTTTATGATCAATGTTGAGTTCACTTCAGGTATAGTTTGAAGTTCTTTTCCACATATGGACTTCCAGTTGCTTCAGCACCAGCTATTGAAAGACTATCTTATCTACATTTGCTTGCCTTTTTCAGACGTATTAAAAATGAATGAACAAATAGGTAAATCAGTTGTCCACATAGAAATAGGCTTCAGAAAGTACATGGAAATTGGGCATAGCTTGTAATTCTGTTTCCCCAGAACTTCTGAAATACCCTTGCAAGTATGGGTCTAGATTTCGTCTGTTATACTGAGGTATTTATCTCTCTTCTAATTTATTCTTCTATTTCATATTTACCTATTTTTTGCCTGAGTTTTTATTATTTCCTTCATCTGCTTGCCTTAAGTTTAATTTTCCTTTCTTAGGTTGAATTTGATTTTCCTTGCTTGAGAAGTTGTATGTGGTTTCCATACATTCAGTGACTTTCTAGATCCTTTTCTGTACCAATTTCTTATTTAATTCAATGAATTCAATTGAATTGACCCCATTTAAATTGAACATTTGATCCACGGCACAGACTGTGACCTGTGATGGTAAAGGTTCTATGTACATAAACTTGAAAATAAGGGACATTTCTCTGCTGTTGGTTGTAGTAATTTAGAAATGTCTATGGTGTCTAGTTAATTGATAGTTTTGTCTGCCTTATTCTTACTGTCTTCTTGTTCTACTCATTATTGAGAGGAATTTGGGAGGGTTTTTAAGGTGCTCACATCCCATATTAGCGTGCCTGAGTTTGCACCTCAGCTTCACTCATGACTCTAACTTCCTGCTAAGCACACCTGAGATGCAGTAGCTAATGGCTCAGGTACCTGGGTCACTGACACCTACTTGGGACACCCAGACTGAGTTCCCATGTCTTCTCTCTAGCCTGGCCCATGTCCAGTTGTTAGGGACATGTTAGGGATGAATCTTGAGATAGGAGATTCTTATCTCTGTTTCTGTTTGTGGGTGTGTCTTTCTCATTCAAATAAATATAAGGAAATGCAATGAGAAATTTTAAAATACAGAACTGCCAGAGGAAGGCTTATTTGAAAAAATCAAGAGGGGTGTGTTAAATTCTCCAACAGCTGTTATTGATCCATAAATGTCTTTGTGTTTGTATCCTCTTTGGTATCGTATGTCTTGTAGCTCAATTAATAGGTGAATAAGAACCTATTCTATTAATAGTTGAAAAAGCATTTCAGATTAGCATATTTTATTGATAAACCAACTCCTTTTTCATTAATAAATAAACCTCTTTGATCATATCCTTTGCTCTTTAAAAGTAGTATAATGACTTCTTTTTTTCTTTTACTTAGTATTAACATGCCATGAATTTTTCTGTCCTTCTATTCTTGCCTATTTGTATGTTTATATTCAAAATACGCTTCCCATGTGTGGCATATTTCTTGGGTCTTGAATTTGTATTTGACCTGACAATTTCTGACTTCTAATTGAAGTATTTAGGCCATTGGCATTTAGTATGATATTTCAGAGTTCAAAGAACATACAATAAGGAAATAGTCTGTTCAAAAAATGTTGATGAAAAAACTGGACAGCCATAGGAAAAGCAAAATTTGACCCTTATTTTACACCTTCCACAGAAAAAAAAATCAACTTGAAATGAATTGGAGATTTAAACGTAAGGCCTGAAACTGTCAAATTCTATGGGGAAAACCTCATGTTAATGAACTTGATAATTATTTCTTGACCATGTCACAAACAGAGAAGGAAGAATTAGACAAATACAGCCTCATCAAGTGAAAAGCTTCTACACAACAAAGGATCCTTGCAGAATGGGAGAAAACATTTTGAAACCAGATATCCAACAGGGTATTAAAACGGCAAATATATAAGGAATGTTTGCAAATCTGTAGCAATAATAATAATCCAACTAAAAACGACAAAGTCTTATAAACACATCACCCCAAAGAAGTCATACAAAAAAAAACAGCAGATTTTAAGAAGACTATCAACCACACTAATCATCAGGAAACTGCAAATCAAAATCTCAACATGCTGTCTCCTCATATCTGTTAGGATAACTATCATAAAAGACAAATAAATGTTGGCAAGGATGTGGAAAATTTGGAATCTCTAGATATTAGTGAGAGGAATGCAAAATGACATAGCCTCTATGGAAACGAAAGTGCTCACAACACAAATAATACTGTTTGCAGTAATGGATATGCTAATTATCTCAATTTAATCATTGCATATTGTTTGCATGCATCAAAATATGACACTGTATCTCCTAAGTAAGAACGATCTCCACGCAGATTTAAAAATTAAACCATATCCATTTTGAAATGGATAATGTCAAAATAACAGTCACAGAAGAATATACAGTACAAGAACTTATTTATGTAAGTCACATTTTTAAAAAATCAAAGCTGATCTGTGCTGTTAGGAGTCAGGGTGGTGGTCACCCTTGGTGTGGTTAAGTGCTAATAGTAACTGGAGGAAAGCCAGCACAGGGCTTCGGGGCTCTGCAACGATTGGTTTCTTGGTCTGAGTGTCTTCGCTCTGTGAAAATGCCCTGGGGAATACTGTCTGTTTTTTCTCGTTTTTATGATCCTTGCCAAAAACAACATATGACTTTGAGTCTTCACCCAACTGAATTAGGAACATCCCTGTGATACAGATGAAATGATTAAGTATAAGTTACTTCTTTACTTTGAGTTATTCTGAGTATCAGCTAGGTGCCCGAGAAGAGAAACGGTCCTTAGGTTCTTTTTGCTAAGATCCCGTGGTTTTACAAAATCAGCCATTTGGAAATTAACGCTCTGTGTCTCTTTTGGTTCAGTTCTCTGGTGGCTTTCCCAATACATAAGTTTCTGAATTTCTATATCCCAAGATGAGATTCTTCGGTATTTAAGATAATATTGCAAAAAGGTTTCCTTAAATATAAGAGAAGTAGACTTGTTTTTCCTACTAATCTGTCTTAACTTTCTGCACTTCTCTTTCGTAGGCGAGCAAAGGTCGGACTACCATCGTGGTGGCTCACCGGCTTTCCACTGTTCGAAGTGCAGATGCGATCGTCGCCCTAAGGGACGGGATGGTGGTGGAGAGTGGGACGCATGGGGACCTCATGGCAAAAAAGGGACTCTACTACTCACTTGCAATGTCACAGGTGATGCTTACTCCATGTTTTATAAGGGGGTTTTGTCCCACATTACAAGCTCGAGTTTTATAAGATAACCAAGGTGGATCGATGGTTCCTGGGAGTGTTTCATGTCCTCACCCTTGGGCTACATGAAGTGCTGAAGGTGTAAAGGCTGCCAGGCACAGGCACGCTGGCATCCACCAGAAAGAGGACACACGGGTTTCAGCAGTTGTGTGAGTGGCAGATCTGGGGAAAGCTAATTCGATAGGATGTGCTCTGTTGTTAAGACTGAAAACAAAAAATGCAATACACAATCCCTCCTTAAAGAACTAATACAGAAACCGAGGTAAAACTGTGCGAAATAGCTGCTGCAAGGTAGACCTAAGAAGCAAGAGTGATGGGAGAGATGCCTGCCCTGCTCAAGGAAGTATCATGGAGAGCCGCAAAGGCTGGAAGGTGCAAGGCGAGCACAGGGCGACCAGGAGGAGGCATGACGATGCAGGAGGCACGGTCAGCTTCTGCTCTCCAGAGCTCCCGTTTCTGCATGCACCCTGAGCCCCCCACACTGTAACACACATCACAGGATGAGTCTGCAGCCATCCTGTCGGTCCTCGCCCCGCCTCATCTCTGCACCTGGAAGGCAGGTCCTTTGTTTAGGGACTCCTCTACAGATCATTCATTTCAACCCCCTTTCTGCTGAAGTTTTCTTCTTCAACATTCTGTTTTTTTGTTTTGTTAATGTTTTATTTGCAAATTGGGATATTAAAAATGTTATGACTTTCCATCATCTTAATAAATGCTTAACTTCAAATTCCAAATCCTGTCTTTTTCCTAAGGCTGGAAGTATTTCTGTGAAACAATCACAGCTTTAAAAAACTGAAAACACATTCTGACATTGATTTGAAAATTACCTGCTCCTGGTTTCATTTTCATACTAGTCCATATTTCCCATGTCCTTTACAAATAAAAATGAGATCTTGTTTGACATTTCACAGTAGGATTATGGATTTATGAAGTTTTAAGTTCAATATTTTCAAACTAATCTGAGTAGCAATAAGAGAAAATAGAAATGGTCAAATTAACCCTATTTAATATTTTTAAGGTTATAATTCTCAGATATTTCTCTGAAATAACATAGCTTTAATCTTTATTAAGATTAAACTAAGAGTTCATAATTAAGTCTTATGGGAAAAGGTTTATGATGTAGAAGAAACAATAGTGTATGATGTAAATGCATAAAAATTCTAAGTACTTTATTCAAAATTAGCTAATGTTCTTCAAGTACTTCAATTATGTGCACCCAGATGTCAACATACAATTTAATTATTAAAACTAAATGAACAACTGAGCCCAGCATGCAGCCTAGGGTTTAAGTCCTCACCTTGCATGCACTGTGATCCCATATGGGCACCGTTCATGTCCCAGCTGTTCCACTTCCCTTCCAGTTCCCTGCTTGTGGCCTGGGAGAGCAGCCAAGAATGGCCCAAAGCCTTGGGACCCTGCACCAGACCCGAAGGAAGCTCCTGGCTCCTGACTTCAGATTGGTTTAACTCTGGCTGTTGCAGCCACTTGGGGAATAAACCAGCAGATGAAGGACCAGCAGATGAAGGACCTCTCTGTATATCTGACTTTCCAAGAAAAATAAATAAATCTTTTTTTAATGAGCAAATATAATATTCGTACTTAGTGTTACACAGTCAGCATAACATCAGTGTTATCTACATGAACAAGAGATTCCTTTTTTAAACACTGACCTGTTTGCTACTGCTACCTAGAGAGACAAGAAGAATCCACTTATAAACTTAAAAGGAGAAGCCCGCATTGGCACAACGAGTTAAGCCACTGCCTCTGGCACCAGTGTCTTCTATGGGTACCAGTTCAAGTCCTAGCTCCTGCACTTCCAATCCAGCTCCCTGCCTATGTGCCTGGGAAGGCAGTGGGGGATGACCCAAGTGCTTGAGCCCCTGCAGTCCTGTGGGAGACCCAGAGACGCTCCTGGCTCCTGGCTTCAGACTGACCCGGCTCCAGCTATTTGTGGCCATTTAGGAAATAAACCAGTGGTGGAAGCTTGTTCTCACTCTCTCTTCTTTTTTCAAACAAATAAAATAAATTTTTTTTTAAAAAAAGAAACTGAAGCTAGGAGCCAGGAAGTGTGAACTCAATCCAGCTCTCTCCCATGTGGGGAGCAGGGACTCACCTTGAGGCATCACTTGGCACTTGCCAGTATCTGCTTTCAGGAAACTGCAGGTGCATACCGAGCCCAGGCACTCAGCTTTGGAATGCAGATGTCTTAGCTGGGGTCTTAACTGTCAGGCCAAATCCTCACCCCGAGTTCTGCTTGCTGGTCAGTGCTGAATGAACAGCAGCAAACCTGGAAATCATGACTGTCTGCCAAGTTCTCTCTCAGCCTCACATGTAGGTTCGTAGCTCTATGTCAGGAATTTGTAAGTACTGCAAAGGATAGCCAGAAGGGATCAGAATGTGGATCCTAAGCCTCCAAAAGCTACTCTTACTAAGACCTTTCCTTGCTAGTGGTCTAATTGCTTAGAATTACGACATTGTTTTCTCCATTCAATAAAGAAGGCACAACAAGTTATTGTCAGTCAAGCAAGCTATCCTCAGCCACTAATATTTTAGTAAAAGTCAGACATATTAGCTATCAATCATCAAGCTTGAAAACAAGAATTGGGGAAGAACTTGCTGTTTTCTATAGCGATGGCAGTAACATAAAGTTCCTTTGTGTTCTTAAGGTGTCATCCTGATAACCTGTGTGCTCCTCATTTTAGGATATCAGAGAAGCAGATGACGAAATGGAGTCAAGACCAAGTTCCACTGAAATAAATGCCAGCTCAGCCCCTCTGTGCCCTACGCAGAGCATCAAGCCAGACGTCACAGGCAGGTCTGAGGAATCCACCCAGCACAAACAGGTAACAGTTCAACCATCAGCCAGTTTTGCCCACGTGCTCCCCAATTTTAATTTAATCCTTATAAAGTTGAGAATGTACTTGTGATTATTAGAGCACTCAATTCACAAAACATCACTAAAGGCCTAAGTTCACAAAATCTGTCTTTTCCAAACTTGACTCTCGCATTCCAGTGACTCTTTGTCCAAGAAGACTGCCTTTCCGACAGAGAATCTTACAGGGATAAAAATATCTCAGGAGACCATTGCATTATTCACTCCTTTGAGGGATCCGTGGGGTAAAATATGCCTCGGGAAGTGTGGTAAGGCCCCTGCAAGTGAAGTTCAAGGTTAATCTTTTCTTCATTCAAGAGGTAAAGAAAGACAGAAGACAGATCTCCCATCTATTAGTTCATTCCCCAAATGCCTACAAATAACCACACTGAACAGAAGGTAGGAGCTGGGAACTCAGCCTGGAACCCCCATCTGGGTGGCAGGATCCCAATCACTAATGCCATCACCAGCTCTCTCCTAGAGTCCACGTTGGCAGGCAGCTGGGATGTGGGGGCCAGAGCCAGGCACTCAAGCCAGGGACTCTGCTGTGGGAGATGGGCATCTTCAAACGTCAGAAGCCTCAAGATTCACGTGAGTCACATAATAACAGAAACTCACCACACTGCCTGGATGGAAGGGAGATCCCACAGTCATGGCCCAGTTCTCTTGTCCTAGAGCACCACCCAATCAGCGACAGGCACGTGGGGAAGGGGTGCTTGTCCCTCTGCTCTTTTCTCCCAGATGCCACCAAGTCACCTGGCTTCAAACCTTCAGACTCCCTCTGCAGTCTCTGCTTGCAGTTAGAGCCTCATTATTTCTATCCCAGTTCAGCCTTGTTGTCTGACAGATACTTCACATCAACCCCAACCCCTGGATGCGCTCCTGTCTTCCTGCTCACTCTTGTGCCTGGTGTGTCTTACGTCAGGTGGCTGCCAGAAGCCCCTGAATATTCTGCCCCCAGTCCCTTGCTCTACCTTGCTCTGGCATTGCCAGTCTATTGCCTTTAAGTTTAGAAACAGTTCATTTCCTTTAGGTATATGGTGCCTAATAGCATTCACACAGTTTTTTTTTTTCTTTTCTATCAGTTTGTTTTAAAATTTTAAGAAAGCATACAGAGAAAAGTAAATGCTATATCCAATAGCAAAAAACCCTAGAACATAAGACGTGAATTTGTTCGACACTGTGCAGGAAGCACTATAGGAAAACACGTATTAGGGATGGGCATTGCCAGGCAACAGATGAAGGCACTAATTGAGACCCTCACATCCCATCTTGGAATGACTGGTCAAGGTTTCAGGTGCTTGGCTTTTGCTCAGGTCCTGGCTCAGTGGTTATGGCAGGCATCTGCAGTAGAGAAGCACAGTGTGGAAGGTTCTTTTTCTCCCTTTGACTCTCTCTTCCCCTCTTCACTCTACCTTTCAAATAAATAAGGTTAGTTGTATCAAAATTAGAACTCAGTAAAACTCTGAAATACACAACATTAAATTTTAAATTCTCTAGGAGAATGTCTTACTCTCGAGGTTTAAGTCCACCAGCAGGCCCCAAGGTCACTGAGGGTGAGGCAACAGTGTTCTTCGACTGTTAAGAACCACTGGAGTTCTGGTGAGGAATGTCCATTTATTCAGCACAAGTTCAAGGTTTATAAAGGTTTACGGAAAGGGAGGGTGGGGCTTTTCAGGTAGTCTCTTCACCCAATAATGACCCTGTGATTGGCTAAAAGGTTAATCTGTTAACTTTCCAATAATGTCAGAGGTCACGTTCTGTATATGGGGCTGGAAGTTATGCCTTAGGGTAGGTAAACTCTAGGCCACCAGGTAGCAAGCAGAGACCCCGGAATGATTTCCCACATTTTACAACTCTTTCATATCTCTTTTACAAAATCACAAAATCATTTTTTCATGCTTTTACATTGGCTTATTTTAAAATATGTTAGGATCTGTAACATATTTGGGTAACTCAGAATCTTATGCTTCTGTTGAGTTTTTCATTTTGTTTTTGCCTGATTTTATTCTTACATCTTATTCTTTTCTAGCTTGAAAACACTATTTAAAATGCATCCATTTTAAGCCCCATAAATGTATATTTTTCTAGAAGCCAAGGACATCTTTCAATGATTTATATAACTCAGATTGTTCTGCAAATCAAATAAACATGGCTCTCCCCCGTGTTCTGGTGATGTTTTCTGAGATATGCTATGCCCTGATTTCATTATAAACCGGGATAGTTTTATAGAGCATGTAGCTCGGTATTCGGTACCTGACAAAAGTGGGTGTGCAGCTTTGGTCTTCTGGACAGTCACCTAAGTTGGGTTCTTTACCACAACAAGCTTTAAAAAAACTTCAACACAAAATATGACAGATGCGGTCAAATTAGTAAGCCACCTAGAGTATCACTGCAGCCTAGCTCTTCTAGAAACAGAATATAAAGGCCTTTGCATTGGAAAAGACCTAGTCTAACAATAACAGAGGTACCTTCCAGCCACCAGACAAAAATGGCAGCAGGAATTATAAACGACTTTACAGTCTTCCCTAAGGAATTTTCTGACAATCACTTTCAGAAATGTCAGTTCTTCAGGAGTCAATGTCATGAGATAGTTTTAACATAAGAGACGCCCAAGAGTTCACTGCCTAATTTTCCTTTTCAAAGTTTTTCACAAGATGTTGAAAGTTTCTAAAAATAATACATGACAAATACTGAGAGAGAAAGAAATGGTTTTCATGACCTCTGGCTCCCAAGTCAATCTCCCTGTGTCCGCAGAAGAGCTGGAAGATACATTTCTTTTCTATTAACTCAGCAGCAGTGCCTACTTATAGATGGCCAATAGCAGGTTGCACTAAATTCTAAAAAATAATCTTATAAAATCCTGAAAAGATGAAGAAAATAAATAATATGCTCATGTATTATGGCATCCTACTTGTAAACATAACCCCCCCCCCCACACACACACACACACACACAAATAGAAATGAAACTTAGGACAGGCATCTGGTCTACCACATACAAGTTAGGATTCCTTGTTCAAGTGCCTGAGCTAGCATCCTAGCTCTGCTCCCAACTTGCGGGTCCTCCCAGTGCACACCCTGCAAGGCAGCAGGCTTTGGCTCAAGCATGTGAGTCCCTGCCACCCACGAGGGAGACCCAGATGGAGCTCCCAGCCTCTCACCTTGGCCTGCCTTCTCTCTGGCCAATTGCAGGCACTCAAGGAGTAAACCAGAAGATGGAAGACTTCTTTCTGTGTCTGTCTCTCACTTTCTTCCTTTCTCTATCTCCCTCTCAAATAATTTTTTTTTTTAAAAAGAAATTGGGAAAGTAGAAAACATTCAAGCTTTAACTCTTTTAACTTTTGTACCTTCTGTTTAAATTACAGACTTTGCCCTTTTCTAGAGTTCTAGTCAGCCTTGTTTAACAAGAGCTCAGAAGATTTTCTTTCAGGGATTCTTAGCTATCAAAACACGTAAGCTACTTTGGATGCTTATAATGATAGCCACAGAATATGATACTGCACAAGTAGATTCCCTTTGGCATTAGGCTTCTTTATGTTTTGGAGTCATCACTACTAATTGGGACAGTGAACATTTTGTGAGAAATCTTTCTACTCTGATGTGATAGACGATATTTCACATCTTGGTTCTGTTTATTGTTGGCTAACTTCTCCAGGTTTCCCTATGCCATGAAGCATGGTTTCTAACCAAGGTATTCTTATTCACAGACAAGTCTTCCTGAAGTTTCTCTTTTCAAGATTTTTAAACTAAACAAACCCGAATGGCATTTGGTGGTTCTGGGTACAGTGGCTTCTGTTCTCAATGGGACTGTTCATCCGATATTTTCCATCATTTTTGCCAAAATTATAACTGTAAGTAAAACTGATATACTAACACACTGAGCAGTTTTAAAGAAAGCATGACCTCTGATCAGCAAGGGGTGACAAGTGGGGCTTCCAGTGGTTGCCGATAGCTTGGGACCCACAATTAACCAATGTTATCAGGGTGAGCCCGTCTCTACTGTGAAATGTTCAAGGGTGCCTGCTGACTGTCTAACCAGTACCCTGTCAGCCATAATGCAACCAATCTCCCTCCAACTCTTCAAACAGTGGCAATTTTGTATTACTAGCCAGGGCAAGGAAATACAAGTTTGAGATTGTGCCCAGGGACCCAGGATGGGTGGTAGATTTGAGCATTGTCCTAGCTCCATGTTAATTCCCAGGCTGCCTGACTTGGTACAGCTATGTCCAGACAATATGAATGCCAATCTGCATTTAATCCCTAATTTCCAGAACATTTTATACAGACACATGTCAAGGTGTAACATTGTAAGTATTGCTAAGTCAAGGAATAGTAAGAAGTTTGAGTTATTAGAAATAATAATTCAAGCAAAATGGGGCTTCTCTGAAAATATACTGTTTGAATAGCATAGCGATGGCTCATTTGTCTAATTCCATGTTTACATAGTTCAAGCGAGCAAATTTAAAGGAAATTACTTTTTTAAAAATAAATGTAATGAATGCAGGCAATTGAATAAAGGCCTACTCTATTCATGCAGAAACATATGTGTAGTCTTATTCTAATGCTGAAATTTATCCAAAAATCCTGATGCATAGAATCATCACAGTTGCTTTTGTGTTTCTTTTAAATCTTCCTCCAAACACTAATGAAAACAAAACAACAAAAACCTCTTCTTTTTCAGTTGTTCGAACATGATGACCAAACCGCACTGAAGCATGATGCAGAGGTTTATTCCCTAATATTTGTCGTCCTGGGTGGTGTCTGCTTTGTCAGTTACTTCATGCAGGTAATCTTTGAATGGGTTAAACAGCTGTAAGGGTGACAACTCATCCTCTCTATTCAAGCTGAAAACCAAAGAACTTAATGCTTACAAAGAAATAGAAACGAGAGGTCAGACTAAATGCTGGTCGTCTTCTTGTCTTTTCAGGGATTATTTTACGGCAGAGCAGGAGAAAATTTGACCCTGAGATTACGACATTTGGCATTTAAAGCCATGTTGTACCAGGTCAGTGTACTGTGTTAAGTGTTTCCTGTTTTATTCCCAATGTGTTGTATAATTGTGGGTGCCCGACATCAACTGTGGGAAAACATCCTGGCTCTGGTTCTTGCTGCACATCTGGAGACACTCCTCAGTCCAGGACAACAAAAAGTCTGCTGGCAGGGCCATAAATCAGTGCACTGCCTGCACACACCTGTCACATTCAATCTGTAGCCGTTTTTTTCAGGCATGAACACCTGATGCTTTTAAATAAAGTGAGACTTTATAACGGCTTTTTACCTATTTATTTAGAAAGCAGAGCGACAGAAAGAGGGAGATTTGGAAAGACAGAAAGAGCTCTTCATTCCACAAATGCCAAAGCCAGAACTCCTTCCTGGTCTCCCATATGGGCAGTAGAGACCTACGTATTTAGGCCACCTTCTACTGCATTCCCAGACTCTTAAGCAGCAAGCTGGAGCAGAAGTGGAGCAGCCAGGAATCAAACCAGCATTCCCACGGGATGCTGGTGTCTTGAGCTGTGGCTGAACCCACATCCCCACTCACTTTATACTTTTCACCCTTGTTTACAATTTCTGCTTTTGTTGTTGTTAGTTTTACAAAAAAAAGTTTTACTTTTTTTTTTCTGTTCAAGAGCATTTTATTTTAAACTTCTAGAACAGATGTTAAATGTTTCCTGAATGGCTTAGTGTTTTTATCCAGGAGAATAAAAATTTTAATTTTTCCCAAGTGTAACTTTGAACGTGATCTCTGTTGGCGGAACTACTGCCTACTACTGGTCAGGACTCTTTGGCTGGCCTTAGACACAGCAACGCTGGGACAAACAAGGGCCTTGGAGAACACAGCCCCAGCCCTTGAGATCGCTCTAATCCATGCACTCCCATAGGAGACACACACAGAAGCCTTGTGAGGCCAAGCAGAGCTTACGAAACTGCTTGAGTTCAACCGAGTCCCCTTCCAGACACCATCGTCTTCCCACTCCAGCCTTCAGCTTTCTCCCAGCTTCTCCTGTTGCCTTTTAGGAGAGCACACATGGTCTTTGTCATGTATTTTCATCATCTTGGCTTGTCTATTTCAGGGAGGCTCCTCACAGTGGCTTTGCCTAGCTCTAGCTACCTGGTTTTCAGCCTAAGATAAGAGCCTGAAGGCTTAGCATGCATGCTAGGGCTTGCGGTGCTTTTTATAACCACGTTGAAATGTCATCTGAGATGGAGGCATTTATAGAATCAGGTGTGGTCTTTTTGTAGGCATTAAATCTAAGTATATGATCACTGGAAGTTCTTCCAGTTGAAAGAATATGCTAAATGTTGCTGACATCCAAAGTTGTAAATAATGTATTGTCCTTTGTGTTTCTGAGTCTGTATTTCCTCTTCTGTTTTATCATGTGAGAGACAGAGAAACCCAGGGACAGCTCCCACTCCTAACTTACTTTGTAAATATCTACAACCACCAGGGCTGGACCAGGCACAACTAGAAGCCAGGAACAAAATCCAGGTCTCCCACAGGGTGACAGGGACCCAACGCTTGAACCATCACCACTGCCTCCTAGGATCTGCATCAATAAGAAGCTGGGATCAGCAGCAGAGCAGAGCTAAGGTCCTCAGACTCCTACATGGGCTGCAGGTGTCATAAAGGGCACCTTAACCACTAGACTAAGTGCTCACTCCAATCATGCTAGCATTGACCTAAAGAACTATAGGGTTTCTGAACAAATGGGAAGTTCAGTTTTATCTACATCAGCTAGGACTTTAGGAGGGTCTTTGACACATAAAAATGATAGCCCTTATGGTGAGCAGTTATGGCCTCCTTGATTTGAGGTGACTCAGCCTGCAGTCGGCGGGGCAGGCAAGAAAATTCAACCACTGTGCTTCTTCAGTCAGGTGGGAGACAGAACAAGACAAAGGGTTAAAATCTGACCTCCTTTTGCTAAGGTTGAAATGCTGACCTAAGCATTTATCAGCTGTGAGTCCCTGACAATTAATCTCTCAGTCCCTCCATCTCCTCATTTTATAAAACGTGCATCAGCATAGTACATAGAGTTGTTCTGGTGATAAAAGGAGAAAATACATACCAAGCACTTATCATGGAGCATTCGTAATTTTTACTTCGGTTACAATTACTGGGGAGGGAAACTTGGACCTGTCTGTGAGTATCCAAAAGCTGGGTGACCTTACTTAACATTTATTTCACTCTGAGGAAGAGGAAAAGCAAGCTAATTTTCAATCAGCACCAGCTAGGTTCCGGAATCTCTGCCAAATGTTTTGGCAGATACTGCCTCTGCTGGACAACAGTCTAGGGTGTACAGTTGCTGGCTCGTGGAAAAGCAAGTTTGTCGAACATGGTGCTAACTGAACACAGGATGATGAGCAAGACATGCACATGTGGACCCTACATGTTCTGCTGCGGCACGGTATCGTAACAGAATGAGGAAGGTGCTCATTAATAACCAGCTCCTTCTTTGCTTTTTATTTGATACTGTATCAAAAATTCCTTCATGCATCCTATGTCACATTGGAATCTAGAAACAATTAAAAAGTAGATTGCATGAGCTAATTAGAGAGACTATCTGTTACGATGTGAGTAGCACCTTCCAGTCTTGTTGACGTGCCTTCACTCTGTACACTCTTGGCTGGGGTTAGGACTCATAGGCAACAATTGGAAAGGGCAAGTTTGGACGCTGAGTTTATTGGGATACCTGCGCAACACAGTAGTCCACAGAGTGCTGCTGTCATGCCAGTACCGTGCCCACACTCGCTCCTGTCACATTCCTTCCCAAGATTTCCCTCCAACGTGACTGCAAGGTTAAGTCACAGCCTTCGGTCTGCGGAGCTTTTGTCTTTTTAGTTGGCAACACTGCGAGACCTGCCTGGGCCTCAGTGTCCTGCTGGACTGCATTGAGCCCATGGTTTTTTCATTCTCAACAGCATAAAAATAAACCATTTTGCAGAGACAATCTCCACTCTGTGGCTTTAATCCACAAAGTAGATCGAAAAGAATGGAAGGCAACATCCAGTGGAGAATAAAAGGACATGAGAATGTCTCAGGCTCAGAAATGCTCTCTCTGCTATTGAAATTCAGACGGGTTATAGAGCTAAGCTTCGTTGGCTTGCGTTCCTGCTCCAGCCCCTTCTTTAGGGGGCATAGTCCCTGACAGTTTGGGTTTCACAGCCTGCTACCATTTTAGCTTCTCCCATAGCCTGATGCCAGCAAGCTAAGAGGGCAATGTGAGGTGTCAGATACAATGCCAAAGAGAAGGAGAGGAACATGTGTTTGACATGGCAGCTAAGACACTGTAGGAACATTCGCATTTCCCATCAGAGTGTCCACGTCCAAGACCAGTTCGGCTCCTGATTCCATGTTACTGCTTATGCACAGCCTGGGAGGCAGTAGCGATGGCTCATGGAGGACAGTGTTGAACACCCGGCTTTCCATCCCAGCCTAGCCTGGCTGCTGTAGGCATTTGGAAATGAACAGTAGATGGAAGATCTTTCTCTTCTCTGTCAAAGAAATAAAAATTGGCAGTTTTTTTAAAAAGAGAGAAATATATAGAATTATATCATTCAATTAAGTGGAAAAAATCTGAATTTTTTTTTAATTGTGATGTGTTTTGCTTCACTGTGTATTCTCTCCACAGTTGTGGAATAACATGACCAATTACTTGGTGGTTCAAAACTATCGCATTTTTCTTAAGATTTATTTTTTTATTGGCAAGTCTGATATACATATAGGAGGAGAGACAGAAAGGAAGATCTTCCATTTGCTGGTTCACTCCCAAAGTGGCCACAACAGCCAGAGCTGTGCTGATCTAAAGCCAGGAGCCAGGAACTTCTTCTAGATCTCCCACACGGGTGCAGGGTCCCAAGGCTTTGGGCTGTCCTTGACTGCTTTCCCACGCCACAAGCAGGGAGCTGGATGGAAGCAGGGCCACTGGGATTAAAACCGGTGCCCACATTGTAGAAAATTGTAATACAACAAGACCCCAAAGTATTTGTTTTATACCTAGATAAAGATGTTGTTGGCATAAGTTCTTTGATCTAAGGTATCTAGGGGAGTTAAGTACACACAAGTGAGGAGGCAGGTAAACGCCTTCTGACTTGCTAGAGCAAAACTCACAAGCCAGAGAAGATTGTTGGATAAAAAATCCCTTAATTTTCCCTTCCCCAGGACATCGCCTGGTTCGATGAGAAGGAAAACAACACGGGAGCCTTGACCACGACACTAGCCACAGACATAGCGCAAATTCAAGGAGTATGTATATTTCTTACTTGGTGTTTCTTTGTGGTGTGTACATGCGCATGTGCACATGTGTGTCTGTGCATCCATGTGAGCTATGCTGGGATGACTCATCATTTACAACACCAGGTACGTTTCAGAGCCAACAGGGAAGTCAGTCAAATGTCCATGGCAGCTTTTCAGTGCCAGGAACTTTTAACCAAAACTAAAAACTAATGTAATAGGATACTCAGAGAACTAAAGACGATATCAAGAATGAGTTCAAGAGTACATCATTGGGGCACGGTACGATAGCCTAGTGGCTAAATCCTAGCCTTGCATGCACCAACCTCCCATAAAGGCACTGGTTCATGTCCCACCTGCTCCACTTTCCATCCAGCTCCCTGCTGTGGCCTGGAAGCATTCGAGGATAGCCCAAAAAGTCTTGGGACCCTGCACCCACATGGGAGACCTGGAGGCGCTCCTGACTTCTGCTTTTGGATAGACTCAGCTTAGGCCGTTGCAGCCACTTGGGAAGTGAACCATGCATAAAAGATCTTTCTGTCTGTCTCTCCTTTTCTCTGTGTATCTGACTTTCCAATAAAATAAATAAATCTTTTTTTTAAAAAAGCGTGCATAATTAAGTATAAGAAAAGAAAATGAAAATGCACCCACTTCAGAAGTTTTAATAGAAGAAAATAACATTGTGCTTTCTTCTTCTGGGAAATAAAGCTTTATTTAAATCAATATCTAACAACTGTAACTCAAGTGTGCCTCTGGAAGTCATTCCGTCCTACTCGACAGAGAGCCGAAGTTAAACAGATGTGTTTAATCATGACCAGATTATGCATAAGCAAAATGTTTAAGCATCATATTCAAATTCAACAACGTCATAACCAGCGAAATGCATATCAGAGTCATCCTTCGGGCGGCAACACTGTGGCATAGCACATTAAGCCACTGTCTGCATCACTGGCCTCCATGTGGGAATCAGTCAAGGGTTCCCGGTTGCTCCAGTCCAGCTCCGTGTTAATGTGCCTGGCAAGGCAGCAGGGCGTGGCCCAAATCCATGTGGCCCAAGTGGGCCAGCAGATGGACAGTCTTTCTCCTACTCTCCCTCTCTCTCTTCCCTCCTCTCTCTCTCCTTCTCTCTCCCTCTTTCTCCCTTCTGCCTTCTCTCTGTATCTCTGACTTTCAAATAACTAATTTTGGGGGAAAAAAGATGAAGTTCTAAAAATACAAAGTCATGCTTAATTAATAGTAGATGAGATAAAAAAAAAATAGTAGATGAGATAAAGAATAACTCCTACTAACTGATTTCGAAGTGACCAAAAAGTCAAGTGCTGTAAATGGTCCCTGTGGAATAACTTCTGATAAGAACTTTTCAAAGAGTTTGGGAAAAAAAAAAATAGGAAGTCCACAGAGCCTGAAGTGGAATCTGCTGAGATGCCCAAGTATTGTAGAACAGAGAAAAAAGAGGCTTGGTTGTGCAGATTTACGGAGCTTGAGAAACTGTAAAGTGTTGAGCCTGGGGTTACTCATTGTTACTATTCATCAGCATACTTTTGTGGAAAATCATTGCTTTTCTCTTTCATGATTAGACGAGCTGTGTCAGTGGCTGAGCTCAGTCACTCTCACAGACTTAAATCATCATTTCTGTGATTCTTTGACAAAAGGCAAGTTTTTGACATGCCACAGAATAGTTTGAACTATTGAGCAAGGGAAAGTTTTATTGCAATATTTTGATTTCACAGCTAAGACTGAAGCCCTTGTACAGCTGATTAACCACTCTCAACCACCATGATGATATCCTGAATGGCTCTGGATATCAGCTTTTGCCATAATCTTGATAGTCCTTCTTAATGAATTCAGTCTAAGACAACAAGACAAAGCAGTAAAATACGCCAGCCTCAAGCTATGGTGAAGTCATCTCAATGACTACTAACATTGTTTGAATCAAAAAATCACGTCAAGCTGGTTTTGACACTTTCTTCGTCAAAAAGTGAAATCAGGCAATGAGATCACCATGGTGCTGGTTGTGACCAATGAACTCATTGGTTTCTGAGTTAATGAAAAAGTTTTTACAATTTCTTGGAGCGACATAAGTATAGCTCTTAGGAGAATGGTTCTTGGAACTAACATTGCATTTGTCAAGGGTATAGAAAGTGCAATGCTTCGGAGTCTATGACACTTTTGTGGACAAATGTGGGTAGGATTTGTGGTCAGTAATATGGCTTACTAAAATGTACAGAAACAATACTTACAATGTGTGGTATCTAGTCTAAAGAATCTAAAATGGATTTATACCTTTAATGAAAGTACCACCAGATAGAAAAAAGTCTGTTGAGAGATGTACTGGCAGGAAGCCACTACCCTGGGCTAAAATAATACCAGTTAAATTGGTCATATTCATTCAACTATTCTAGAAATCATGGTGCTCGGTGACTATATTTCATTAAGGTACTTTTTAGGTCATGAGTCTGAAAGTATCAGAATTTTCAGAATGCCAAAGGCTATCTTTTCAGTTGTTTGTTCAAGATTTCAAACTAAGACGTATTATTATATTATTGTTAAGGAGCTGTTTTGTGATATATTTGATAAATAAAATCTATTTGATAAAATAAGATATAACTGGAATTGCATGATGAAGAAATGACTTACTGACATCCATGCAATGGGAAACAGCTCTCAGTTTATTATTTCCTGACTTCTCCCCAGTGTATAGCATCTCTGGGAAACAGGAAGTAGTGTGCAAATAAGATTGGTAAATAGTTCTGCCTTCAGTAGAAAGTTTCCATTTGAAAGATAAATCATTAAAAACACTATAAAGAGAAAAGAGCAAATTTTGTGGAATGGGGATTCAAATGGAATTGTAAGGACTGATATTCTGCCAGGAGAAGTGAACTCTGGAAACCCTAAATGTGGATGTTGTTATTCAGATAATTTGAAAAAGCGAGCTCCTGGGGGGCGGATGGGGGGGTAGATGTATGGTACAGTAGTTAGAACGCTCCCTAGGACACTTGCGTCCCATGCCTGGGTGTAGACGTTTGAGGTGTAGCCCTCTTCTGATTCCAGCCTCCTGCCAGTGCACACCCTTGGAGACAGATATGAAGAGCACATGAGACACCTGGCTGTGCTCAGATTCTGGCTTCCACATGGTGCAGTCCCAGCTATTGAGGGCACTGGAGGTGTAAACTGGTAGAGGGAAGATCTCTTTGTGTCTGTCTTTCTCTCTGCCCTTTAAACTTAAAAACAAAAAAGGCAATTGAACTCTTCATCTATCCTTTAAATTCTAAATACTAGGCAATGAAATCCTAGTGCTTTGTCTTCTCAACTGACAATTGAATTTTTGGAAGAGATGAAGATTCCTCCCATTTCCTCTTGAACTTCCATAACATAAAACCAGTTTTCTGCACCTGGTGTGGTAGCCTAGCAGCTAACATCCTTGCCTTGCATGTGCCAGGATCCCATATGGCCTCTGGTTCTAATCCCGGCAGCCCTATTTCCCATCCAGCTCCCTGCTTGTGGCCTGGGAAAGCAATCAAGGACAGCACAACACCTTGGGACCCTGTGCCAGCGTGGGAGACCCAGAACAGACTCCGAGATCCTGGCTTCAGATCAGCTCAGCTCTGGCTGTTGCAGCCACTTGGGGAATGAACCAGGGGACAGAAGATCTTCCTCTCTGTCTCTCCTCCTCTCTGTATATCTGAATTTCCAATTAAAAATAAAATAAGTCTTTTTTTTAAAAAAAGAAGAAAATAATAGGAAAGGATCTCAGTCACAGTTACAAAAACAGAATTCTATGTGGTAGGCCTTCTACTTGGGGCCAAGTTGGAGTAACAGGAATTTATCCTCCCACCCAAGACCAACAAGAACTAGGAAAATACGAGAATCAATGACGTTTCAAGACAGTGGCTACAAGGTGGGGGGCAGCCATGGCAAAACAACACGGTGGGACCTAGGATGGCTCTAGCTCACTCCCTCAAGAGAGTTTCCAAAGGGCTGTGAAGGGGAGAAACAGAAGTAGAGCTCTGCAGCCTGCCAGCATCAGCTTGCAGCACAGAACAGCAGCGAGGGGAGCCGAGCTGGGAGGGCGCAGTGCCATTCTGTCCCCATTGCCCTTAGCCTTGCAGGGCATAGAGCACTAAGCCAGCATTACTTACTGAGATTCCCATCTGGGCCCTGCCTGGGTTCCTTCAGGCACCCAGTAGAGGTTATCTGTGTCTCGCAGTGCTCAGTACTGAGTTGCTTCTTTGGTATGATCTGCTGTTCTCATTTTTTCATTCTTTTAGAATTTTCTTAGATTTTTGTTTTTAGTAAGATATTGGAAAACAGCCACATCAGCAGCAAGGAAGAGTTAGGCAGAGAAGCCTGGAGGAGCAGGAGGAGGTAGGGAGGACTGGTTACTGCTGTGATATTAAGAGAGAAAGCTCTTATTCATCCTTTGTAAATTTTAGTGAAAATGCACAGAGTATTTCAGAAAAGTAATTTGGCCATAACTAGCAAGAACGTATGAGGATACACCCTTTCATAAATAACTCTGGTCAGAAATTTGACATGAGGCCGTGAAATATGGGCACAAAGATTCTGCATGAAGACATTCCTTGCAGCTTTATTCTTAACTGTGAAAAACTAGAAGCAACTCCAAGAGAAAACTTACAGTAGACTGCAAGGGATGGAAGCAGGATGTGCACACCACTAGACCATAAGGATGACAGCAGGATGTGCACAGCAGTAGACTGTGAGGGATGACAGCAGGATGTGCATACCGTATTCCTCATCTGAACTGTGAAAGGACTTCTAGCAGATGCAGCTTTTTTCAATACTCAAGTTTTCATAATGAGAAATATGAATACTTCAATATGGTTGATTTTGCATGTTTTTAGGTAGTAGCGGCCCCTTTTTTTTTTTTTTCATCTCAATGTGAAAGGAACTTAGCGTGTTGATGCATCATCCTGAAGGACAATTCATGTAGTTTTTATGAAATAGTTTTACTTATTTCTATTTACTTGATGATTTTTATTTCATTTATCATTTATCTTTCTGTAGAGTGCCTTGATTCCAATTCTTGTTCTATTTTCTAAAGACTTCCATTTTTTAATTTTTAGAAAGGATTACTTTATTTTTATTGGAAAGACAGCTAGAGAAGGAGATACAGAAAGATCTTCCATTCACTGGTTCACTCCCTCAAAAGCAGCTGCAATGGTCGGAGCTGAGCCAATCCAAAGCCAAGGGTCGGGGGTTCTTCTGGGTCTCCCACACAGATGCAGGGTCCCAAGGCTTTGGGCCATCCTCTACTGCTTTCCCAGGCCACAAGCAGGGAGCTGGATGGGAAGTGGAGCAACCAGAACACGAACCAGGACCCATATGGGATCCCAGTGCCTGTAAGGTGAGAACTCATAGTGCAGCCATTATGCCAGGCCCCAAAGACTTACTTTATTTATTTGAAAGGCAGAATGACAGAGGGAGAGAAGAGTTCTGTCTACTAGTTCACTGCGCAAATGGCCCCCAAACATGGAAGCGGAGCTGGGCCAAAGCCTGGCCCCTGGAACTCCATATGGGTTCCAGGGAGACCCAAACACTTGTCCCATATTTCACTGCTTACCCACACACATTAGCCAGGAGCAGAATCAGAGAAGCCAGGATCAAACAGGCTTTGGATATGGGATACTGGTATCACAAGCAGCAGCTTATCCCACTGTGCCACAGCACCAGTCCCTCTTTTTCTATGTTGATGTTGCTTCTTTAGACTTTCCACCTAGTAGCATCAGTGTACAAAATGGGAAAATATGATGAGAGATCCTATCCAGAGCAGATGCTGAATGAGTAACTTCATCATTCAGTTGGACACTTATATGCTATTACAATGGAGACTGCAGGGGCCCCGTCAGCCATGGGAGAAGGTGCAGGCTCAGGCATGGTAATCCTAGGTGGGTACAGCTCAGGCTGAGGAAGCAGAGCCGGGGCACAGTGGGGAGGGTGCTCCTGCAGAGGAGGAAGCCGGGGCCAGGACAGTAGATTAGCCAAACCCAGAGAGATTAAACACATGATTCAATCCACCAAGGAAAACAGGAGCCAAGCTTCTCACTCAGAAAGAGGGACTGATTAATTTGGAAAGGGAGAAAACCGGTGTGGAATTGGAGGTACTGAAGTGACTCGTGGATTTCAAGAAAAATAGGTACGCAGATCAGTGGATCTAGATGCACATGTGTGCATGCATCCTCACACACACACTCACCCACACATTCACTCACACTCTCTTTCACACACACACACACACACACTCACTCACACACTCACTCTCTTTCACACACTCACACATTCTCTAGCTCTGGCTCCTGGCATCCAGCTAGCACCCTGTACTTGCTGGTGGATAAGAGAAATCGGGGCTCTTTGGAGAAATGTCTGACTGCTTGGACAGGGCAGACAGGGCAGGATGACTAGACGAAGGTTTGTGTGTGAGAAGGGAGGAATGCACCAATACTCAACAACTGGTAAGGACACATTAAAGGCCAACAGAGCCAACTGCAAGGGATGGGCTCCCCTGGGAAAACCTGAGTTTCGCAATAAAGAAAGTAAGATTATAAGTTACTGAAAATTAGTAACACACCATCAGCTGGTACTACAGCAAATAAATTGGAAGGTTGATGAGGAAATTGGATTAGCATATCTTAAGGTATCTGTCGTCAAATATTGGCTACTTACAAAGGAAAGGCAGCCTCATAGTGCAGAAACCCATAGTGCAGACCCCCATCTGAGTCAATCTGAAGCCAGGAACCAGGAGCTTCTTCTAGGTCTCCCACACAAGTGCAGGATCCCAGGAACTTGGCCCATCTTCAATTGCTTTCTCAAGCCATAAGCAGGGAGCTAGATGGGACATGGAACAGCTAGGACACAGACTGGTACCCATATGGGATGCTGCACTTTCAAGTTGGGGATTGTCCAGTTGAGACGTCACAGCCACTCCAGCCAGAGGCATTTTTCAAAAAAAAAAAAGCATATCTAATTTTATCTCTAAATATAATCCTAAAAAAAAAAGAGCCTATTTGTTTTGCAAAGAATGTAAACTTAGTATAAATGTTACACTAACTAATATGTCTGATTATAGGCCATAGGTTCAAGGATTGGTGTGCTAACACAAAGTGCAACCAACATGGGGCTGTCCACTCTCATTTCCTTCCTGTACGGATGGGAGATGACACTGCTGATGCTGAGTATCGCTCCAGTACTTGCAGTGACCGGGATGATTGAAACTGCAGCCATGACGGGTTTTGACAACAAGGATAAGCAAGAGCTGAAGCAAGCCGGAAAGGTAAATTGAAGACCAAGATGACATCATCACGTTTCAGGAGAAAAACTCCTGTATTTAAGAAATGTTAACTTCATCTCTGCCGAGTGACATGTATATATGCAAATACATATAGACCAACATGCGATTGTAGTAGAATATGTTACAACAAAAGGATATTTGACTTAGAATACAGGGTCTGGAGTCTATCACTAACAATTGTGTGAAACCTTTTAGACTTCTGCTTTTGCTCCTGTAAATAAGGAATAATAACAATATCCACTTATGGCTTTGTGTATGTGACAAAACTTTAGGCATGATTAGACACAGGACACATAGCATAGCGTGTGGAAGACAGGAGGCCCCTAATGATGTCAGCCGTCATCACTGTTACTCTAACGTGGTAAGAGTTTTCTATCATTACGATGCTATATTCTTGCTTGAATAGTTGCATTTTCTTGAGCCATTTTTTAGTTCATGCTGAAAACAGAAAGATCTTAGAACAATTCGACATCAGCACTGAGAGCAGAGGTCAGGAATCTCGCATCTCATTCTCTCCCGCAACCCGCGTTGAGTACTGACGTCCACACAGTTCTCTGACCCAGATCCACTCTGCCTGTCTGGAAGCGGTAGCCTGGAAATAGGAAGTTTCTCTTTCAAGGCAACATATGCTCACATGTCCAGAAAATTATCCTCAGCCCAACTCCTCCATGTTGGATCTCATGTAATGAGACATTCCTCTTGACAACTTCATAAATACAAGGAGCCACTCATTTTACTGATGAAGCATCCCTCCAAGCTTGCAGACATCAAAATGAGACATGGCTTTACCTTGTAAAGAATGTTATAGCTTTGATGGTTTACCAAGAGGTTGCTGCATCTTCTTGGGTCCCTGTTTGCATTTATGAGCTGGAATAAAGTAATCATCTATTTGCTTCCCTCTGCTTTGACTTGAATTGTTTCTACAGTTTAGAAGACTCATTTCTGTGCGGATTCAGATTAACTTGACAGTCAATAATGACTTACAAGGAACTAAACCAGGAAGAGCAGCCTAAATCTTTTCAAACCTGGAGTGTCCTTTTTCTATCTTACTTCTTTGGGAGTGAGGTTAGGTGATGAAGAATATTTGTCAGCTAAACTTAATGACTTGCTGTATTTACTATACATGTCCCTAGGAGAAGTGACTGGAATTCATAACAAGGAAAAGTTTAAAGATTATTAATGTCATTTCTACATTCCATTACCCTCCATTATAAGATAGCAATGGAAGCGGTGGAGAACATACGTACCATCATGTCCTTGACCAGAGAGAAAGCCTTTGAACACATGTATGAAGAGACCCTGCACACGCAACACAGGTGATTGGCTGTCTTACACTCCACTAACTGTTCTTCCTCCTCAGTGATGCCAGTGGCTGGCCAGCCAACCCACTTCCTCTGGACTGCCTCTCCAACCCGGAGCCCCATAACGCCTCAAGTGACTTTACCAAGAGGAAACTAGAAGAAGCAGAATAAAGAGCTGGGGTTCAGAGGGGTCCAGATCTTACTAGGGACTGGGGTCCAGATCCTACCAGGGACTGGCTCTTACTGAGTGTGCACATATTTCTCATCTTCCCGAAATAGGATAGCAGAAGTAACAGTCAAGAAGAAAGATGGCTGGGCTCCTTATAGACTAAATCCCTAAATCACATAGCTTTCAAAGTGAACACATACACAACAAAATGGGCTCATTCCTTTTCATTGTAACTAGTCCTCCTTATCAACACTGCCCTGGGGATCCTCTCTCTGTGACTCATCACAGAGATAGCTTTGTGTTCTCCAGCAGGCATGCCAGTGGCTGGTACCACCCTTTTAGTTCTACTCTCTAGGAATGCAAGATTACAATAGAGAACAAGAAGATACTGTAATACACCTATAAGCCCAAAACCCTTTCTCACATTAGCTAAACTTTTACAGACATGTCCACTCAGAGGATATTACATAAAGGCTGCTTTGTTCCACTGAACCCTAGCATCTATACGGCTAATAAAACATCATTACATGATCCGCATTCTCTATGAAAAAATCAAAATCATTGTGTCTTAAATCCCCAGAAAAAAAAAATGTATTTGCACAAAAATGATCACAGTTCAAAGTCCGCTACACTCTGTGCCTACATTTGCTGCGTTGTCCTTGCTAGAACTCACTTGGGAAATGCTGTGCCTTTCAGAAACGCCCTGAAGAAGGCTCAGATCACAGGGAGCTGCTATGCCTTCAGCCACGCCTTCGTGTACTTGGCCTACGCAGCAGGCTTTCGATTAGGAGCCTATTTAATTCAAGTTGGACGAATGACCCCCGAGGGCCTGTTCATGTAAGTTGTGCCCACCGATCATTACCTCTCTACGAGAAAGATCTCTAGCGTGTAAATCACAAAGGTGGGAAAAGCGTGCTTGGAAAATGAAAAACCTTCACTGTTTTTCCCCTTTTAAATTTTATTTCTGATAAATAGTAATTGTTTATGTTATATATATGGGGTGAGGCTGATGTTTGTTGCTTTTAAGATTCATTTATTTGTTTATTTCAAAGGCAGAGTAACAAAGAGAGAGGGAGCAGGAGGGACAGACACACACACACATACAGAAAGAGAGCGAGAAGTCTTCCATCCACTGGCTGCCTCCCGACATGGCCACCATGGCCAGCATGGCCAGCAATGATCCAGGCTCAAGCCACAAGCAGGGAGCTCCATCCCGGTCTCCTATATGAGTGACAAGGGCCCAAGAATTAGGGCATCTTTCACTGCTTTCCCAAGGACGTTAATAGGCAGCTGCCATCCCAACCAGCACTCTAATACGGAAGGCAGATGTCCCGTGTGGCAGCTTAACCCATGATACCACAATGCCAGCCCCACGATATAAAGCTCAGATATAGATCTGTGTTATAGAGTGATTAAATCATGGTAAACATATTTGCTCTTGGTATTTACTATCGTTATTTATGTACTAAGAAGTATGACACAGCTAATAAAATATTGACGCTGATACCAATTTTTTTTAATTTTATTTTTTATAATGATTACATGGTTGATCAGGGTGGGAAAGAACAAGCTTTAGGGATTTTGGGTGAACTGATTGTCTCCAATTTTGCTATTTCTTCTTGTTGTTTCTGGGGAAAAAGGAGAGACAGAGGGGGAAGACACACATGACTTTCCAAATGTCCCAGTACCCAGGGATGAGGAACTGCCACCTCATGTCAACCCAGGGTCCCACTGTGTACATACTCTGCCCAAGTGATTTGGAAATGCTGTCAGTTTCAATGATCCAAGGATGATGTCACTCCCCTTCCCATGTCCATTGGCTGACATAGTAAGCCTCAAGTCATTTGACTGGGATAGTTGTCTAGCTTGTTCTGTTCTCCTTCTACTATGGCACCAAATGAGCTGCCGCATTCTTCTTTTACGACAGGGCCTGCATCCACTGCTCCATTTTTTCACTGAGTAGGACATGTTCTTGCAAGTGAGTCCATAGACCCAGGCCAGGCGTCCTAAGCCTCAGTATTCTTATGTAAACTCCAAAATGAATTATTCCTGCTTTGATTTAGAACATGGGAAAGTAAGTTGAAAATGTACCTTCTTGTCCTGCATTCCTTAGCGCCTCCCACCTGCGTGGCGGGGCCAGCCATTATCTGCTGCTTCCCCAGGATGCATTAGTAGGAAGCTGGGTCTGAAACAGAGCATCCTGAACTCAAATTGCAAAAGCATACACCCCCATTTGTTTGCTTGTTTGTTTGTTATTGGAAAATCAGACATACAGATATACAGGTCACAAGCAAGGAGCTGGATTGGGAAGTGGGGCACCCAGGATATGAAATCCACATGGGATGCCAGCCCTTGTACAAGGAACAAGGAGCTTCTTCCAGGTCTCCCATATAGGTGTAAGGTTCCAAGGTTTTGGGCCATCCTCTGCCACTTTCCCAGACCATAGCAGGGAGTTGAATCACAAATGGAGCCTAAATGGGATGCCAGCACCGGAGGTAGAGTCTGCATCAAGCTGGCCCCAACACTCCCATTTGTTTTCTAAGATTTATTTTTATTTGAAAGGCAGACTTATAAAAAGAAGGGGAATAGAAAGAAGGTCTTTCATGCATTGGTTCACTCCCCAAATGATCAAACTGGCCAGACCCAAGCTGATCCAAAGCCGGAAGGCAGGAGCTAGTAGCTTCTTCCGGGTTTCTCACATGGGTACAATATCCCAAACACTTTCCACTGCTTTCCCAGACCATCAGTAGGGAGCAGGATCTGAAGTGAAGCAGCCGGGAAACACACAGAGGAGGGTTAGCCTATTGAGCCATGGCACAGGCCCCTCCAAATTTTTTAAACAATAGAAACATAAAATTTTGGGGAAAAAAATGCATGTTGGCCATTGTACTTGCATTCTCCTACAACAGCACACGGTGTTGCCTACAGGAACCTCTACAGACCATAATTGGGACATTTATTCTTGGGCTTCATTATGATTATTAAAATGAATTAGACAGAACAATGAAAGTCCAAATCCAAAATGATGTCTTTAGTTCACAGGCCCTCCTTAGATCAGCTGGGTCCTCCCGGCTCTGCCGGAATGCAGGCGCACCCAAGCTCACAAGTTGATTGCATTCGATAAGCTTGTTTACAAACCGATTGCTTGAAATGTTGAGCTTGTTTTCCACATTTTTCTAAACTTTCAAGCCTTCTGAAACTCCCCACATTCCACTTCTTCTCAGAACTGGCTTTGGGTATCAGTAGAAAGCAAATCAGCCAAACACATTCATACAAAGGTAGGATTCCTTGTGCAAAATCTCACAGAGCATGGTCACCTGATTCCCATCAACTTCTCTGTCGTCTCCCTGGCTTTGTTTATTATTATTAATTACATTGCATTATGAGACACAGTGTTATGGGCACTGGGATTCCCCCGCCCCTCCCCGAACCCTCTCCCCATGGTGGATTTCTCCACCTTGCTGCATTACCACAGTTCAAATTCAGTTGAGGTTCTTTCATTGGAAGTATTTACCAAGCATAAAGTCCAGCGTTTTACTATCCTAGTGGGTTCAACGATTTCTTGGTAAGACCATCTCTGGTCTGAAGGTAACCTGGCTTTGGTTTTTAACCATCTGACTTGCCCTCTACTTAGAGCATCGCGTCCTGGCAGCTCTGATTCTGAAATATTTCTCACTCCCTCCACCCTTGTAACCTTCCTCCAGGTCTCTGTCTCCCAGCACAGGGTCCTAGCAATCACATTCTCATTAATGCCCATGTGTCCCTGCTCATTCCCCAAAGCCAGGTCTCCCCAGAGCAGCCAGACTGATCTCTCAGAACACAAGTCCAACTACATCAACTTATTTAGCGGCTGGTATGGCTTCCCATTGAAACTTGGGAATAAAGCCCTGTTCCTTACCAGGTTGTGAAAACCTTTCCTTGACGGGATTTCCCACTTCCTTTCCAACTTTCATCCAACAGTCTCCTTTTGAACAATACATCAGCCCCAACTTGCTGTTTCTGTATCCTGAATCCCCCATCTCGCATCTCTGTGCTCCTCTTTCCTCTGCCTGTGAGGATTGCTCCTAGCTCACGGCTGGGCTGCCTCTCTCTCACCAGCCAGGTTTCCACTCCTAAGTCTACAGCGTAGAGGAGCCCTACACTCTCATCATGCTCTTCCCTGCTACCACAGTTTCTCTCATTCGAAACACTTAACCAGTACATGCAATTGTCCTTTTTGCCTCCACATTTACTGAGTGCCCAAACCATAACCTTTTCTGCTTCTATACATATTGATAACATAGACTAAGTGTAGATCTCAGATGAGCTTGTTCACTGATGTTTCCCTAAAATTTCCCATAAAAACAATAACAACAAAAAATGTTTGGCCCAAAATAGACACCTAATAACTACAGACTGAATGGAAAAACTTAAGCATACTGAGATTTGAATAAGTTAAAACTAAGCAAAAGGGGGCGGTGTTGTGACATAGCAAGTTAAGTCGCTGCCCATAACAACAGCATTTTATACCAGCACTGGTTTATGTCCTAGCTGCACCACGGTTGATCCAGCTTCCTGCTAATCCACAACTAGGGCAAGCAGTGGAGGACAGCCCAAGTGCTTGGGTCCCTGCACCATGTGGGTGACCAGGAGGAAAGTCCTGGCTCCTGGCTCCTAGTTCCTGGCTCCTAGTTCCTGGCTCCTTCCTGTCTCCTGGCTTTGGACCAGCCTAGCTCTGGCCATTGCAGCCATCTGGAGAATGACAGAGATGCATCTCTAGTTCTCTCACTCTGTAACTTTTTCTTTCAAATAAAAAGTAAACTAAGCAACGAATTCTTAACCCATTGAGTCTTAAATTTTCAGCTATGCAAATATTTCAATGACATTTATTTCCAAGTTACCTTAGGTGTTTTACTCCTTGCTTAATACATGCTTTTATGGAGTGTACTTCGTAGGCTGAAGGGACATACCGAGGAATGTTACCCTATGCAGATCATCAGCATGTGACTGAGGGACACCAGGGAGGATCTTTCCAGAAAGGAGTCACCCAAGACTGCAAAGCAACCCATCAAATATGATCCTTCCCATGTCAGCAAACCTGCAGTGAGTCCTCACTCAACATCACCCTCCTCATCCTCTGAATTACCCCCATCAAACACAATGTCTCCCTCTTACAGATGGGAAAAAATTAAGTCCCAAAACCTCTGCCTAACCTGTTCAAAGTCACATAATCAGTAACTCAGCACGGATACCAGTTCAGGACTCCAGATATCATAAGTTTTGCTTAGCCAACATGTATTATTATTACTACTAATTAAGTAGTCATACTTTCATGAAATAATTCTCCAAATAATTTTAATAATTCTTGCTTAATATTCCAAACACTGGAATTTCCAGAGTCTAGTTGATTCTTTTTTTTTTAAGATTTATTTATTTTTATTATTAGAATGATTTACACAGAGAAGGAGATAAAGAAAACCTTCCATCCACTGGTTCACTCCCCAAATGGTTGCTATTGTCGGAGTTGAGCTGATCCAAAGCCAGGAACTCCCACATGATGCAGGGTCTCAAGACTTTGGGCTATCAAGACTCCAGGTCTCCCATGTGGTGCAGGGTCTCAAGACTTTGGGTTATCTGCTACTGTTCTCCCAGGCCATTATCAGGGAGTTGGAAGGGAAGTGGAGCAGCCAGGACTCAAACCAGCACCTATATGGGATCCTGGTACCTGCAAGGTGAGGATTTAGCCTTTGAGCCATTGCAAGAGGCTCAGTTTGATTGCTATCATAAAAGGAATAGATGATCTGCTTGATGTTAGCACAAGGCCCTACAATTTAGGACAATGAAAATGTTCCAGTCTA